GTATGCTATCTTGCTAGCACTGCGGCTGCCCGCTGCGCAGAGGAAGGTCAAGACGGAGATGGACAAGGCGAAGTTGGACATCGAGATGCAGCTGGTGCCACAAGGGCCGGACGTCGTTCGGCACCTTGCGCTTCCCAAGGAGGGAAAGACGCTGGAATGGATCCTTGCGGAGATGGATAAGATGGACAACGAGAAAGCGCACACCAGCTGGAGAGTCGGCAAACTTTCTGGAGCCGTTTACCGTGCGTCTTTTCTAGTTCCGGACACCGGTTTCGCACTAACACCGCAGTGTAGACGGCGGTGACGACTTGGAGAAAGTTATCGTGGCTGCATATGCGAGATACTGCGTTTCGAACCCACTTCATCCCGATGTGTTCCCGGCAGTGAGGAAGATGGAAGCCGAGATTGTTGCGATGACGCTGAAGCTATTCAACAACCCGGAAGGCGCCGGCACGATGACATCCGGGGGAACCGAGTCCATTATCATGTCGGTGAAGACGCATCGGGATTGGGCGCGCGCGGTGAAGGGAATTACGGAGCCCGAAATGTGCGTCACCGCGGTCAGGTGTTGCTTGTGCTGACCGTTTGCGTAGTGTGCTCCCCACATCTGTGCATGCTGCGTTCAACAAGGGATCCGAATACCTGGGCGTGAAAGTGCACATGATTCCCGTCGACCCCATCACGCGCAGGGTCGACCTGAAAGCCGTCAAACGCGCCATGTAGGGCCGCTGCTCCATTCGATGTATTCCTTGGCTGATCACGTTTGCAGCAACTCGAACACCATCATGGTCTGTTTCTGTTCTATTTCGGGACGTGCTACTCGCGCTCACATGTGGCTAGGTGGCTGGTTCGAGCATCAACTTCCCCGACGGGAACCAAGACGACATCGAGGGCCTGAGCAAGCTTGCGCTGAAGTACAACATCGGTTTGCACGTGGACTGCTGCCTGGGCAGCTTCATCGTTCCGTATTTGGAGAAGGCTGGCTTGGCTGAGGGCACGGACGGGAAATACAAGCTCCTGCCTTTCGATTTCAGAGTGCCGGGCGTGACTGCCATCAGCTGCGACACGCACAAGGTATGACGACGACTCATGCTTCGCATCGGACGGCTTTCTCACATGTGCTTCTGCAGTACGGATTCGCGCCCAAGGTGGTTTTTTCTGTGTGCTTCCTCTTCTGTGATGGTCTCTGAGTGATGGCCTAGGGCACCTCGGTGATCATGTACAGGAACTCCGAGCTGCGAAAACATCAGTACTACGTCAACCCTGATTGGTCTGGTCAGCCGACATTTGGCATATTTCTGTTCGACGAATCTGACTTTTGCCTGCAGGTGGTGTCTATGCCAGCCCGAGCATCTCAGGCTCCCGGTAAGAAGCTGATTCCATCCCGTTGACTTGGTTGACGAACAGCGCTTCTCAGACCTGGAGCGCTGATTGCGGGAACCTGGGCTGCGATGCAGTACATGGGATCAGAGTATGTATAGTTTTCTCCGAGATTGTTGCCGGACGCTGAGATAGCTTGTTGCAGTGGCTATCTCGAGTCCTGTCGCTCGATTGTTACCTGCGCGCGGGCCATCGCTGACTCCATCACGACTTCCATTCCCGAGCTGTACATTCTGGGGTCCCCGCCTGCTTCGGTGGTCGCGTTTGGGTCCAAGCACCCCAAGGTGAATGTGCTCGAAGTAGGTGACAAGATGTCGAAACGGGGCTGGCACCTCAATGGGCTGACCGGCCCGGCTGCTGTCCACATCGCATGCACGGTAAGAGAGAGGCGAGCTGTGGCGTCTGGCATGCTGAAGGCAACTCTGTTCGCAGCGGCTGACAGTTGATAACCTGGAAGTGTTCATTGCGGACTTGAAAGATTCGGTAAACGAGGCCAAACTAGAACCTGACGGCAAGGGCTCGATGGTCGCAGTCTATGGTCAGTCCACGGACTCACTCTCCCCGGTCCGATTCGCTCACTCGCTCGCAGGTCTGGGAAACTCAAGCGCGGTTGGGCCCGAGATGGTCGGTCAATTAGCGACCGCGTTTTTGGACACCTTGTATAAAGCGTGATTTACATACTGGATGAAGGATATACCGCGGATTTTCGGGGTGGTACCTCGCTAGATAGCACCACTAATCTAGGCTGATTCATAATGACACCTGCGTGGATGAAATGCACGAGGCGACGACGGGAATGGAGACCAGACGAGATCGCTCTGGCTACCGGTGCAGAGCATCTGTGATTATCCGCGCGTCGTGGATGATGAAACCGATCAGACACTTTTTATATCGCCGTGGTCGGAAGACGTCGGAAGCAATGTCAACCGGAAGATAACATCGCGCGCACAAAAATCACCCTCATTCTCGAGTCACCCGCGTCATCCTTCAGCTCCAGCACCCATCATCTCTTCGTCTGCAGAAGTCGTAGTCCTTCCAAGGCTGTCCTCCCAAGGGCCTCCCCATTTGCGTCTTGCCCGATCAGGACCGCTGAGTCGGCCGACACCCCTATAACAAGTACGGCTCGAGTGGTCGCTCAGGCCACACCACCCTCGATTATGACATTTTCATTGACCCGACCGTCGTCGCCTGTGAACAATGGCTCCCCACATACGGAGGAGGACCTGGCGCCTCTCCCTCGCATGGACCCCGGGCCGATGTCGCTGCCCGAGAGCAAGGAGCGCCCGGTACGTTGACCTGGCTTGCTGCGCCGCGGACTTGCCCGGCTTTTGCTTACCTCTCGCGCAGGGCCTCGAAATCCACCTCGACCACGAATTCCTCGTCCTCAAAGGCACCGGCAACGATGTCGAGTCCGCGCGCCTCACAGGACATGTCGCCCTGTACCTGGCGGAGAGCACGCCGATCAAAGAAATCACGCTGCACTTCCGAGGCAAGGCACGGCTCCCAGCCTCGCCACACGAGTCGTGCGTCGTCCGTGGCTTTCCATCCTTCCGGTGCTGATCCCGCTGCGCAGAATCACGCTGAACAACTCGGCCTCGACGTACATCGTATGCAACCACGACTGGTCGTTCCTGGAGGGCGAGAAGAAGCACAGCCATACGCTCAAGGCGGGGCGCCACTTCTTCCCGTTCCAGCTGCAGGTGGGTGGGTCGCTGCCGTCGAGCGTGTACACGACTGCGTTCGGGGGCGCGTCGGTCACGTACAAGCTGCGCGCGCATGCGGTGCGCTCGGGGCTCAACTCGAATCTGCAGGCGGTCGCGCCCGTGTACATCCTGCGCTCGTTCTCCGCCGAGGCGCTCGAGTACCAGCAGACGCTGGAGATCGAGAACACCTGGCCGGAGAAGCTCATGTACTCGATCATGATCCCGCACAAGGCTTGGGCCGCGTCGGACACCATCACTGCGCTCGTCAAGTTCAGTCCGCTGGTCAAGGGCGTCGGCGTCGTGACAGTCAACACGACGATTAACGAGACGACGAAGCTGCACGCGGGCCGGGTGTCGCAGGAGTACACGCGCGTAGTGGCGTCGACCAGGCACGAGATTGTGGGGGGCAAGGCCGTGGAGGCGTCTGACCGACCGCGGCCCGCGACCCCGGGAACTGCGATGGTGGTCAACACCCCTGGGCCAGCATCCGGCGGCGGGTATTTCTCACTTCCCGTCAATGCTGAAGCCGGGCCATCTCGCCTAGCCGGCGATAATAACAGCGTGGGCCGCTCCGATGTCAACAGCGACCTTGAATTGCAGGGCTCGGACGATGTCGTCACGTATCTCTCGATTGTCGTTCCCACCAACATCACACCCACGCACACGCTAGACCCCATCACTGTCTCGCATCGCCTGCGGTGGAGCATTCTTATCGTCAATCCGGATGGACACACATCCGAGCTCCGGTGTTCTCTGCCAATCCATCTGCTGGACCAACGGCTCCTGAACGAAGCCCGCGCGCACACCGCCGCGACCCGCCGGCTGCTCATCGGGGGTTCCGAGGTCCCGCCTGCCGCAGTCGAGGAGGAGGTCGAGCTGCCGAGCTACACATCGCACGTGCGCGACCGGGTGGCGAACATGTACCTGCCGGAAGCTGCGACGATGCGCGTGACGAATCCGCTGAGCTCGTCGTCGTCGGGGATGCACACCCCAGCCATCCTGAGCCGCTCTGGGCACGCGTCCCCGCTCGACGCGAACTACCTCTCGCATCTCCCCCATGCGCCTGGCTCGGGCGACAGCACACCCCTGGACTGGCTCAACTCGGAATTGCTGCTGACGATGGAGTCCAACGGCCGGCCGTCGGACACGCCTGCGTCGGGGACGACCTCCGACTCTGATCCGCCAAGCCGCAATAACAGCCACCCGCCGAGCCGCAACAACAGCCATCCACCGAGTTCGCGACCGAGCCGGCGGGGGAGCCGGGCATCGAGCCCGGAGCGCGAGCGCGAGACGTCGTCGCCCGGGGACGGGACGATCATCCACAGCAGCCACGCGAGCCGGAACCTGCAGGGCCTGTTCGCGGCGTCGATGAAGCCGTTCACGGCGCTCGCGCATCCGCACTGGCCGCGCTCGTCGTCCCACACGTCGCTGTCGAGCCTCGCGGCGGCGTCGTCCGCGTCGTCCCTCCACGCGCAGGCCGCGGGCAGCAGCGGCAGCGGCAGTAATAGCATCGAGCAGCGCAGGGCGCGCACGCTGACGATGACGGAAACGAACCCGACGATGCTCCAGCGCGCGTACACCGAGGTGCCCGGCTACAGCTTTGCGTCTCGCGGGTTCATCGGCGGCGTGCCTCCGCTGTCGAGCATGCAGGGGCTGCCGTCGTATGAGGAGACGGAACGGACGCACAGTTTGCCCAGCACGCCGGCTCTCCGCTGACCGATATTTAATGATATAGAACCTAGACAGCATCCATAGACTTTCTCCCAGGGCTTCCTTGTATGTAACATATTATGTACCCACTACATCGAATGAATCACCCACTCTTCATACTGTAATCATTGGCCTGGCCAAGAAATGAGGCCCGAGTTATCTCTCAGAACCGTCTAGAATCATGATCATCCAATACCGAGACAAGACTTTTCGCAGGACCAAGAACACTTATCAGATAGCAGCATCGAACATCTATCTACATTCGACTTGTACATCTAGTCTAGCACTTTGCGTCTAGCAAGAAAATCGAGGCCTTACGGCGTTCATGCCTTCTGCTCGTCGAGCGTCTTCATCGTCCACGGCTCAGACGACGCCCACTGCTCAGCGGGGACACCCAGCTCAAAGAGCTTCGCAACAACAGCGGAGAAGCTTAGGATGCCGTCTGTCAGTAGATGCAAAAGGACGACAACTTGAGGACGCACTCCTTGAAGAACAGTTCGTTGTCGTCGGCATATGCCTTGGCGAACTTCTTGAAGCTCTTGTCAGAGACGACAACGTAGTCGGTCCTGCGAACGGTCAATGCCCAGTCCAGACGCCGTTCAATGGCAGGGCTGCTCACGGAAGCATCATCAGCGAACGCGTGCTCTTGTCTTCGAGCTGCTTCGGGCCGCTCCACTTCTTCCACACCCAGCTGCAGACAGTGTGAATATCGTCCCTGAGAGAATGATCCGAGCCACTGACCTCTCGCTGAACAGCAGCTTGAAGTAGTCGTTGGTCAGGGTAGTCGGAGAGAAGGTCCACGGGCCCTCGAATCCGGAGCTGCGACGAATCCCCATGAGCGCGCATTCCACACAGCAGCGGTCCAAGGCGAGGAAGCTCTCACCGGGTGCTGTGGCACCGACCGAGAGCGTGAGCACCGGAGAGAGCCACGATTTCCTGGTCGTTGAAGCTGAATCATGATTCTTGTCAGTAAAACTTCCCACCGATAGAGTTCACTTGCCCCATGCGGTAGAAGATCTATGGGAACATCCGTCCGTCAGTGTCCCGCGATAAGCAATATGTAGCAGGAAGCCGCTTACAGCACGCAGGTGCGCAGCACCCTGCGTCGCATCGGGCAGCCGTCCATCGGGCGTGACCTTCTCGATAGTGCCGTCGATACGTCCGGCCCTCCAGGGGACCTTGGGGCCAGCCATTTCCTAAGCGCGCCGATGAGACGGAGAAATGGACATGGACAGGAGCATGCGTCATCGTCATGATCACGGCACGCACCTGGACAGCGGCGACACCGCCGAGGGTCCACAGGTCGCCGTACGAGATCCACGGGAACTCGGCCTTGATCTTCTCCATCAGGCCCCGGGCGAGGTCGAGACCCGCGTTCGCGCCGTGCAGGGACTCGGGCTCGAAACGCATGGTAGCGTAGTTGCTGGTAAGCAGCCGAACGTCAGATCACCCCGCCGGAGGTGGGTGGAACGGCGTACCTTCCGCCGGTCTTGGTCTCCACGTCATAGGTCCCCGACGAGTGCCACGCAAGGCGCAAGACAACGGGTCCATACGACCCGTCTGTAATCGTTGCCGTGAGTCAGGGAGGGGCGCGGAATCGGCGATCGGAGATCGAGACGCACCATCGTAGTCACCAGCCTCATCGAAGAGCTCGGCAATTTTGTTGTACACCTACGCAAAAAAAAGAAAAATCGAGCTCGCTGCGCGCTCGGTTGTGGGGGAGGCACATGGGCGCGCGCACCTTCTGGTAGTCCTCCTGCGTGGGGGTGAACTTGACGGCGGCCTTCGCGGCCTGGATCTTGCTCTTCGCCGCGGTCTCCGCGTCAGCGGAGGAGTAGAGGTAGAATCCGCCGCCGAGGAGGACAGCCGCTGCGACGCCAGCGATAAGACCGGTGTTAGAAGACGCCTTCGGGGGCGTCGGAGTTTCGGTCGAGTATTTGCGGAAGGCGATGCGCGAGGCACGGGGTGCAGCGGAGCGGGCGGCAGCCGCGCGGACGGCGGTGCGCCCTACGGATGAGCGGAGGAGAGACAGAGACATCGGGGATGGAGGGCAGACAGAGGAGGGTGCAAGACGAGGACTAGCGTGTTGTTTATATGTAAGTATCAGGCCCGGTATTTGTCGCCTGGGGATCAATCCGGTATTTACCCGTGATTGACTAACCAATCACATCGCGACGATTTCTCTATCCGCGATCCATGTAGCACTTTAGATCCAAAGCAGGTTTGTGTTGCGAGTCCGTGAATTTTTGGAGGCGGCCGAAAACGGAAAGTTTTTTGCTTCATCGGGATGTCTTGCGTCATGGATGTCGTACACCGACATCCATACTTCCCACCCTCAGCTGGAAATAGCTCATTTTCATGTCGACGAACAAATCGCGAGTCTCGCGCAACGGAAGTTCGATAGCGCGCCACTGCTCGATGCAGCGCCAGAGCTTTGTCAGCTCAAAAAAAAACCTGCGTGTGGGCTCACTTCTTCCCCAGTAAGCGCTCGATTTGACGCGCCTGATCACCCAAAATTGTGTAATCTTCTGTAGATGTCACCCCCCACGTGCCTCGTCACGACGCGTTCCCCGATCAGGCGCCGCCGGCCCGCATGGCGACTTACTCGCAACTGTCCGCACTCACTCGACATTGCTGTTTGCCTGATTTCCTCTCCCGAGCAGAAAATCCGGCTTTCTCAATGCACCACCGATGTGCCTCCAAACCAGACGCGGGCGGTCCTACACACACACGACTGCAGCAACCCCGCACACCTGCAGTTGAGAAGTGAGGCTTGGCCGTGAGCGGATCTTTGTGTTCCTTAAGCGATCGGCGGTGACTTTGCACGATTACATCCCAAGCGAGCTGTTCCGCGTGTTTTCGTGCAAATGAGTCATATCTCAAATCGAGGCATAGGCAAGTACTAAGCGACGTTGTATAAGCGGCGCGCGCATGCTGTGCTCTGCACGCCCGGTTCGAAGTCTTGTAACGCGCGCACTGACGATGACCGAGACCAAGTCATACTCGCAATCAATTAGTGGCATTACTAGTAGTGCGGCATACACCCTGACTATGACATCTAGTCTTATGATAATACCGCTGTTTCGAGGGAAGAAACCGGGAGGAGCGAGTTCATGCTTTCTGCTCGTCGAGTGTTTTCATCGTCCAGGGCTTAGGCGACACCCATTGGGCGGGTGGAACACCCAGCTCAAACAGCTTGGAAACAACCGCCGAGAAGCTGGGATAAACATCAGTACACGATCCCCCCGCAAGCTCAAGGCGGGACCCACTCCTTGAAGAATAGATCATTGTCATCAGCATACGCCTTGGCGAATTTCTTGAAGGTCTTGTCAGAGAGGAGAACCAGATCGGTGCTGGAAACGATTAGCAACGGATATGATCAGTCTTGGAGACCTGATGCTCACGGCATCATCAGGAGCGAGCGGGTGCTCTTGTCCTCAAACTGGTGGTCGTGCCCCGCCTTCTTCACCCAGCTGAACAAAGATTGAGCATCGTACCAAACAGATAATCAGGGTCACCTACCGCTCGCTGAAGAGCACTCGGAAGTAATCATTCGTCAGAGTAGTCGGCGAGAACGTCCACGGGCCGTCCATTCCAGAGCTATCCGCAGGAATGAGCAAAACGTCTGCAGTGCCAAGGGAGAGACTGACATGGGGGGATGGCATCGACCGATCGCGTGAGCGCCCGAGAGAGCAACGATTTCCTGGTCGTTGAAGCTATGCAACAGTTTGCCAACCAAGCCTACTGAGCGAGACCGTTCGCTTACCCCATGCGATGGAAGATCTATCAGAACATCCGTCAGGATGGGTGGGGGGGGGGGGGGGGGGGGGGGGAAAGGACAACCCGAGAGAGCACTCACGTTGCGGAGATGCGCGGCGTCCTTGAACGGAGAGGGCAGCCGCTCATCCTTAGTGACGTCGTCGCAGGAGCCGTCAATGCGGCCGGCCCTCCACGGAACCCTAGGGCCCGCCATTTCCTAACCGCACGGACGAGTTTGAGCCGCAGGTAACATCATCGTAGTAGTGCACAATACCTGGATAGCAGCGACACCCGCGAGGGTCCACAGATCGCCGTACGTGATCCACGGGAACTCGGTCCTGACCGTCTCCATCAGGTCTCGGGCGAGTTGGAGGCCGGTGTTTGCGCCGTGGTCGGATTCAGGCTTGAAGCGCATAGTAGCGAAGTTGCTGATAGACAGCAGCACGTCAGACTGAGCAGATTGGAGAGAGTGGGGAAAGCACCTTCCACCGGTCTTGGTGTTCTTGTCGTAGGTCCCCGACGAGTGCCACGCAAGACGAAGGATAAGTGGTCCATACGACCCGTCTGTATCAAACCAATGTCAGTATGAGATGGGGATAACAGTAATCGACACGCGCCGTCATGGTCATCCGCCTCGTCAAGCAGCGCGGCGATCTTGTTGTACACCTGATTCGACATCAGATCTACTTCGAGCCCATGCTGATATGCCCAGCAGGGCACAAGCACCTTCTGGTATTCTTCCTGCGTGGGGGCGAGGTTCGCCGCGACCTTGGCCACCTGGATCGTGCTCTTCACGCGAGTCTCGAGATCAGAGGAGGAGGGGAGGAAGAAGAACCCTCCGCCGAGAATAGTGGCTGCTGCGACCCCAGCTTTGAGGCCGGTGCTCGCTGACCATTTGGGTGCTTTCGGGAATTCGGTTGAGTAGTGTCGATACGCGACGCGGGGGACACGGGGGGCGACAGGACGGGCAGAAGGAGCACGAGCAGCGATGCGGGGTGCAGATGCACGAAGAAGTGACAAAGACATGGAGGCCAGACGGAGATGCCAACGAATGGTTGTGCCAGTGAACGGGGCTTTCAGACGTGTTGCTTATAAGCGCATCTGCATTGAAACGCTAGACCACAGCATCGGACGACTTCTCTGGCACTTGCAAATGAATGGAAGATCCAATTTTTATATCTGCGGGAGACGAGAGGAGCTGTGTTCTTGCTACATTGGGACTCCGAGTAAGACGCTTTTTGTTCGGTGTCACTCCTCACGTGCTCTCGTCACGACGCGTTCACCAAAGTTTGCTTTCACGGCTCAAACGAGAATGAACGCGCCGTCGTCAGTTGCGAAAGAGGCAACGGATGAACAGGATCCCACAAATTATTTGGCTCAAGGCGGGAGACCGAAGACGGCTTGCTTCGCGAAGTTCATGAAGTGGCACCAGTCCAAATTTCATGTTCCAGGAACATCTGCGACAGGACGACAGCGAGTCGTATTACGCCGGGAGATGGATTTATATATTCGGAAGCTATGCAGGAATAAGTGAAAAATTGTGTTTGGTTGCACTGGACTCCAGATCCCCAATCCTCTCATTTGTAGCTTCAGAGTGGAGAGATTTAGTGCACAACCGACGAAAAACAGCGACACAATGTATTGCACATCTACCGTAGCAACGTACTTTCCGGTGCGGCACAAATTGCAGGACGAGCGGGGTTCGGTGATGAGAGATATCCGGTGGTTCTGGATTTAAAGTATGTACACAATTGGGTTGGGCTTCGCGAACCAAACTGAGCTTCTCCGGACACATCAAAAGACCGGAAGCCTCTCGTGGGTTGTCATGTGACTCTCTCTGAACATGACGTAAAAATACTAATACTGGAGATAACCAGATTCGGGATCTCATTGAGTACAACTGTAACTTATGGGGTGAGGGTCTTGAATCACCAACCCTCGTGAAAAGAAAGGTGCTCTCTCCGCTCTGATTAGTATTGTGAACTGCAACACCTTCGATGAAGAAACATACGCGTTGGGAAGGCCGCCCTCACGGCCCTGCCAGTTGTCAAATACATGTGCCTGGAACTGAGAGTTGATGATCTAATTCTCAGGCAGGTTCCAGAGTTCTCTAGTCAGTTTGTCTGTTATCTGATGCGCCCAAGACAACAGATCATGATCTCTATCCGCGTCTGTTCTTGCTTCAACAGCCCTCTGACTCGAAATCATCATCCGCGGGCGTTTACAGCTTCCAGTGACTCGACGTCATCTGACTCGCTCCGGAATCAGTCGCGCCGGCGTCTGTACACATCTTATCCTCCACATTCATCCCACCAAGCCCTCACGATGAACCCCTGGGGAGCAGCAGCACCTCCACCCTGGGTGCCACAGCCCGCGGGCTACTTCCCACCCGGATACGCCACGCCGCAATACGCGTCATACTGGGCGCAGCCGGGGTGGAACGCCCCCACCGTCAACGGAGGTGCGCTCCCCAGTCGCGCCGGAACATCTGACTGCTGAGGAGACGCATTGCTGACCGCAGCGCCAGCGTTCAACTCGGTCAAGTACCCGACCCTGAACCCGATCCTCGCGCTGGGGACGACGACGGTGCGATACGACGTGCGGGGGCAGGCGCGGAACGAGATCGCGCAGGCTATCTACATGCCCAACCGCCTGCTGGTCGCCACGTCCAACCAGGCCACGCATGTGCGGCTGATCTCCAAGGCCTTCCCGTGGTCCATCGAAATCGTGTCCGCCAGCCCTGTGACCTGCGAAGTCATCTGGGACGCCCTTTATAAGGCTGTAAGCGCGCGTTGCTTATATCCGTCCGGCTCTCATCCGTCTGTTGCAGCTGCAAGAGCCGATCGCCGATTCCGAGTGGGGGATTATCATCCTGGACAGGAAACAGCGCGAAACAATTGAGAAGGCAGCCAAGAAACGATCTGACAATCAGGATGCTAGATACAAGAGAATAGATTGGCTGGGTGGGGCGACCATCTTCAAGGGCTTGGAGAAGCTGGAGGAGTTCCAGGATATGCGGATGCTGCCGGGCGCTGAGCCGTGTGCGGAGACTTGGGTTGTCAGGATGTCGACCTCTTGAAGTTTGTGCTTCAGAGCCGAATGTAATTATATATATCTGTACTTTTATAGCTGGTGGTGGTCCAAGCAGCAAATTGCGGACACGTGTTTCAATGACAGCTGTCAAAATTTTCCCTTTGCCGAGCTTCTTCGAGTCTCCTCCGCCGCCGCTCCGTGTCAGCCAGTATGGTGTCCTTCCAGTCCGTGCTCCCGCAAACGGCAACACCTGAACTGAATCTCCCACCTCTAGATGCCATGCCTGCCAGGACACAGTGAAGAAGCCGAAACTCGATCAGCACTACGGACGCTGCTACGCCGGGTTCGACTGCATCGATTGCTCCAAGACCTTCAACACCCCAGCGGAGTTCAAAGGCCACACGTCCTGCGTCAGCGAAGCCGAGAAATACGAGAAGAGCGTGTACAAGGGCCCCCGGCATGTGCGTGCGATCCTCCCTTCTCTGGCCGTGCACACAAACATTGAACTATCTGCAGAACGACGGGCATCAGAATGCACGCGGTGGCTCGAGGGGCGGACGGGGCGGTGGACGGGGCGGCTGGAACGGCGGCTGGACCCCCACGCGCGGGACCGGCCCGAACAGCACCCCCCTCGGCAACTCGCCCCGCATGTCGCCCCCCACCCCTGCGTCCGCTGAGGCCGACGAGCCGCCAGCCAATCCCCCGACACCCGTATCCGTCACCAAGCCCAGCGCCCCGCCAAAGTACTCAGAAGTGGAGAAAGATCTGAAGGAGGAAAAAGAAAAGGCGAAGCAGGAGAAGCTCGCGGCCAAGCTGAAGCGCAAGGCCGAGAAGGCTGAAAAGCGGGCGACGGAGAAGACTTCAACGACCGTTGTGAGTGTCCGTTCCTTCCTACACCCACTTCACTTGTGACTTAATTTCCGTCAGGAATCATCTGCAGCCGACGAGCTAGAGGCGAAATTGAAACGCAAAGCGGAAAAACGAGCCGCCAAGAAGGCAGCGGCAAGCGCGGTCAGTCCCTCACAGCTCATTTATCGCAATCCTTCACGCACTTAACACACATCCTCAGGACGCGGCCGCAACACCAGAAAACGTGCCTCCCAGAACCCCAAAAGAACTCGAGTCCGAGCTCAAGAAAGAGCGGAAACGGCTAAAACGCGCCCAAAAACTTGCGGATGCCGTGAATACCGCGCCCGAGGACCCAGCGCCGCTCGAGACGGTCTCTGCGTCGTCGAAGAAGCGAAAGCGGAACGAGGACGAGGCGGAGACTATCGCTGTCGTGGAGACGGCCGAAAGGAAACAGAAGAAGGAGAAGAAGGAGAAGAAGAAAAGCAAGGACGCAAGGACCTCCATGGATGTGGATGTAGTCGCGTCGGACGCAGCACCCGTAGAGAAGAAGAAAAAGTCGAAGAAGGCGGAAACGGACGCGACCGACACGCCAATGGACGTCGACGCACCCAATGATGGAGACGACGAGAAGAAGAGGAGGAAGAAAGAAAAGAAGGCCAAGACGGAGGCCAAGGCGGAGACGAGCGAGCAAGTGGACAAGAAGAAGAGGAAGAAAGATAAGAAAGCAGAGGGCGTCACGGCCGTAGAGTAGTTTCGTAGTGCATCTTTCTGACGGGCCGATTGCGATCGCCCAGTGCAATCCATCACCCACCTGGGCACTTCCGGAGTACGTGGGACATCGTTGTGTGGCTCTCTACTAAATCGATCGGTCAGTTTATGTACAGATACATTGTATGGATTAATGGGTATCGAGGGGGTCCACGAGCAGGCGAGAGGGAGATATCAGAACGAGGTGGTCGAGTCGACTTCGATAGTAGGCACGATGGATGCAATGAACTTGAGGAACACGACCAGATAAAAGTCGACCCGCATCCCTTCGACCTCCTCCTCCTCCCCTGCCGTCTTCGCATCGTCTTTGCCGCTCCCGCTGACTTTGCGGCCGAACCATTTCTTCTTGGAGTCCTTGCTCCCGCCGCCGGCCGACTTGCGCTGCGCGAGCTGCTCCTCGACGACGCTGCTGTTCATGCGCTCGATGACCTTCTTCATGACGCTCGCGTGCTTGCAGGGGTGCACGGAGGCCGCCTGCAGCGACGCCGAGTTCGGGAACGCCTCGATGGTGACCGTCTTGAACGCGTGGTCGGCGGACACATCTTGGAAGATTTGCTGCGGGGTCAGCGGTGTGCCGTTCTGAAGATCCAGACCGTGAGTCGCGAGCAACACGAGGCAGGCGAGCCGCACCTCATCATAGCCAATCAGCCAGATGCGCGGAGTCTGATAGTATTTGTCGTAGGTTATCATGACATCGTACGTTCGGACTTGGAGTAGGTTGGCGTTCGTCGCCGCGGCTTCCGGTTGGCTGCAGCGCGGCAATGAGCGAGGCGGTCAGTGGGGGTCGATCACGATCGATGTGATAGCGCTGCGCACCTGGCGGGGGCGACGACTTTGGGCGCAGCAGTCGCCGCGTCCTCCTCCTCCTCAAGCCCCTCCTCCTCCATATCCGGAATATCATCCAAATCGGGGGTCGAATCGTCGCCGAGAGCCAGTGCGCCGACGCCCTGGGCAACCGCGTCATCGGCGCCCCCATCCAAGTCCGGAATATCGTCGATCTGGCCGGGATTCGACGAGTCCGGGTTGGCCGAGCGCCCCGCGTGCGTCTCGACCCATTCGTCGGCGCCAGTCGAGTCGCCGAACGAGAGCAGGCGCTCTGCGTCCTCGTCAGCGTCCGTGTAGGCTAGCGAGGTTGCGCGGCGCAGGCACGGCACGCCGCGGGTGAGCAGGTACTGCTTATCGGCAGGGAGGTAGTCCTTCGCTTTGGATGCGTCGCCCGCTTCCCTGATGACCAGAAGAGGCAGTGTCAGTAGCTGGGTGTAGGAGGCAGGAGGGCACGCGGCAGGACTGACCAGCTCCAAACAGGGAACTTGTAGGCGAGGAAGTCGCCTGCGGCTACGAATTCCTCTACCAGGCGATGGATTAGACGATGAGAGAGAGGCCATGGGGCAGTGCGAACTCACCGGGTGTGATTCGCCCGTGTTCCTTGAACTTGCTCTCTTTGAGAACCTAGGTCATGATGCTGATGAGCAACGGCGCCACTCCACCCGTGGAACGAGGCCTCACAGGACTCAGGTACTCGCGGACAGACCAGTAGTGTTGCTATAGGCGGGGCTGGGTGAGAAATGTGGGATCGAGACAGAGATGGGCGCACCTGGATGGCGTGCATGCTGAAGAGAGAACGATTCCAAGGTAGGACACCCCCATTCGATCGATTTCGGTTGTCAATCACGACTCGGACACGTGACAGTCGCGTGGCGGAATCTCTTTCCCAATTCAGTCCACGCGACATGGGTTTAATGAGGAACTCGGACCCTCTTGATAAATTCCAATGGAGCTGGGATCTACTATTTTTGGTGAAAAATAGTTGACGATCAAAACATCCCTCCTTCCTCGGTTTTGGCTAGAAAAGAAACTCATCAGGGTCAACAGGCTTGGCCGCCACAGGATCTTTAGGCGCCCCCACGCTGGACCTTTGGTCATTTCGGTGCCATATAAACTTTTTCATAATCTTACTTCTGTGAGCTACGAGAGCAGTCTGCGGCACAACATAAACTTGCGCAGGACTTCAGACATGGCGTCCATCCGGAGGAATTCCCGTCTCCCAATCTGCGGAAGGGCTGGCGTATCCTGAGCGAATATAATTCCATATCTATGAAGTTTGATTTCAGATTTAGTTTGTGAGCGTGATTAACCTCGATTTTAGATCTGCTGATTTCACTTTCGTGTTTCCCTCTTTTAGCACGAATCGGGCTGGGAGGTTTATACTTCCGTATTGACCATAAATCTCCAGTATATTCCACGCAACGGCCCATGCGATGGCACGTGCACAACCACCGCATGCAACAGATCTACTGTACAGGTCCAGGAAGATTAGACTGCTCTCCTTGTAAAGAAAGTGGGATAACGTAACGAGTACAACGAATCTGGGCGAGCCTAGAACGGGTTGACATACTTGTCGTCATCCTTGCCGTCCTGGTACTCGACGGCAGACTCCAAGTCACCCTCGCTCTTGTTCATGCCGACGCGCGTCTCCATCGGGATCGCGTCGCGCTGGTAGTGCGTCTCGATGTCCTGCCGGATGCGCAGCACAGTCGGCACGTTGCCCTGTGTGTTCGTGTTGTTGTGGTTCGCGTGGTGGTGGTGCGTCTGGTCCGACGTCTTGCCCTCCGTCGACCCCCCGAACAGCGACGAGCGGTTGTTCAGGTTCGACAGCATCGAGAGCGTGTAGATCCGCCCGATCGTGATTTCGATCATCGTCGCCGCTGGTGACAGGTCAGATCAGATATCCGCAGATCAGATCAGATGGGACCCACAGTTGGCCTCGGGCTGGGCGCTGAAGACGATGACAGTGATGATCCTGCAGAGGTTGAGTCTCGCCAGTTGAATCGTGAAAATAGAGACGCACGTCATGATGGTCGTGATCGACCCGTTTCTGAGCGACGCGATAGTCAATCTCCGGATAAGACTGGCAGCGGGGTCAGCAGACGCGCAAAAACACGGCTACAAGGAGCACGCACTTGCGCGTGTCGGAGAATGTCGTCTGCGCATTCATCGTCCTGAACTTGACGACCAGGATTGCAGTGATGATAGCATCAGCCGCCACACAGCCCGACAACCAGACTAGTATCCACTGTCAGCCAAATGTTCTCCCGAAAAGGAGTCTGTCGACTCACTGGTGACGTATCGGACGAGCGCCGGCCGGCCCGTGTACGACGAGTTGATGAACAGCTGCGCGGAGGTCGCCGCCCCACCGACGATACCAGTGAGGATGAACAACGCGATGATTGGCAGCCAATACCACTGCCGGGTCAGGTTGTACACCATGCGCGTCAGCCAGATCTGCACGATCGCGGCGGTGCAGGCCGTGCCCAGGATGTACACAGGGATCGACCAGGGTCTGATTTAATAGAAAAAAAAGAGGTTAATAAGCCGGGCGAATGAATATCCGCGGCAGGAAAAACGCACTGAGTGCCAATGTAATCCTCGCTGCCCCAGTGCTACACCCGCGATTCAGTCCCCGTGGAAATCGATAGCGGACAGCGCACGCACGGTAACCATGTAGAGATAACTGGTGACCGCAGAGCAGAACACCGTAAGAATATCACACGCGAATGCCGAAAGGACAGATATTTTGTTGAACCACTGGTCTGTTCGACTGTTACGGCAGGCGAGAGACGTGAGAGACAAGACTGCGCACCTCGAGGATACCGCATAAAATACTTCGCAGTCCTGCAAGGTCCATCAGCTGGGTACCACGACAAGATGGCTGGTGCGCGTACTCGATACATCTAGACGAGAAAAAATGAGCCGAGAATCAGTCCAGCAGCAATAAAACGTACTCGAGAGTGACGAGACTATCATTCCACACAGCGCAACATCAGCTCCATCTCTATGACGAATGACCAGGCATAAGAACGCACATAAAATTGGCCCACGAGGCGATGAGCAAGCACCCAATGGTCAGATTAAGTGTGGTCACCGAGATGTACACCATCTTCAGCTCAGTCTTGTCTATGGGGAAGTAAGGAGTGTCAGAAGGCAAAGGACTTCAAAATCGGCCTTCGTCCGGTGGTGCGAGATATAAGAGACGCCGTCTCCCCTCCACCTCCTAGACAGCGAAAAGGAGGTCTCGCGTCAGATCAGACAGGCTCCTCAGTGACCGGTCAAATCGATCGCGGGTATCAATCCGAGGGTGGAACGGAGGGTTGGGAATGCACGGCCGCGCCGGGATCGCGATGGCCCGAGAGTTACAAGAGATTTTAGCACAGGCGCATGGTAGCAGCAGCAATTGCGACCCGACGTCTACAAACTGGCCAGCTTTGGTCCTCGCGATGTCTGGGCACCGAATCACGGCGATGCTCAGGGGAAGAAGAGGTGGAGAAACGGTCATGATATATATGAGAGACACCGGCGTCCCGCACAGATCGCCGAACCGGCCCTCCATCGAATTTCCAAATCGCGCTTCGCTGTCGTCAACGACATAAATGCAGCGTAAAGACCCGCCCAGGAGCCCTACCGCATGCCTCCCGCACACGAAAAAATTGGGCGACGCAGCGACCGTCCATACCACGCGCAGAGCGTTTACGCGGCCCGCAGCGGCTAATCGTAAGGTCACGCATAGGAGCCTCGAGGCGTGGGGTTCTGGCTGGAGTGTCGAGGAGCCCGATTGAGAAGCATCGCTCGATCGGCGCTGGGCATGCACCACAAAAGCCATGTGCTCGTGCACGTGATGGAAAAAACCAATTGACATTGCCGCTTGATCGACACGCCACGCGGAGTCTGTAGCATAAGTACAGTATATATGGGCTGTCCACAAATTCGAGAAAGGACGGACGCCGAGTTCCGTAGAGCTAGAGAGCCGGAAAGTCGACAGTGACCGGCACGCAGTCAGCACGGAGCCCATTGCCCGCCGCTCGAATACCTGCGCCGGGCCCAGCTGGGCGAGGAACATGCGTCGCAGTGCTCGTGCGGAAGGCGACGGGGCCTAGGTCAGACCAGAGTGCCCGCGTTCGCCGCCGCTCTGACAGCCAAACGAGGCGGTGAGGGCTGCAGCCTACCCGGTGACCGCTGTAGAGCTGGCAACGCGGTGGTGCGCGCCGGACCCTGCGGCGGTGGCAGACGGGTAACAGAAGCCCGTGACATCTGGGCTGGTAGTCGGCTGGCTTGGTTGGTGCCTGTGCCGCTTGCAGTGCGCGTGCGTTGCAACGTAGGAGGACAGGGCGTTCGCAGACGTGGGAGGTGGTGCAGTACTTGGGGCGGCGGAGGAGATAGAGGCAACACCTGCGGTCCTAGGCACAGTACGAGACGACCCCCTAGTTGACGATGGAACTCAGAGAGCCTTGGCCATCTTGATCCCTCTTATTATTGAGATGGACATCTCTCTTCGAGGAAGATAGCAAAGGCGTTTGATGAGATGATTCAGATCAGACAGAGGATGCACACTTGGACCATCTCCCTCTCTCTCTTCTTAGATCGTATCTCTATCCTGAACTTCTTCTTCTCAGATCTCTTTCGATCATCGTGATGGGCAAGAAAGGCAAAGAGGACGCTGTTCCCTCCCCCGCCGCGATCGTGAACAAAGACATCATGCAGCGGCTCAACTTCATGTATCAAGCAAGCGTGTACCTCAGCTCACTCGGCCAGCCCGAAAGCTCGACTTCGACTGCCGATCCCGCGTTACGGAATGAAGAGAGGGGGGACGAAGGCAGAGATAGCCTGCAGAAACGGAGGCAGAAGAAGACAAAGAACGTCAAGCGCAGGGCGAAAATGACTGCCCCCGACCTCGCGCGCACGTATGTCGGCGCGATGAAGGTCGTCGCGAGCCGGACTATGGTACGCATGTGTGTCGTGCCTCCCTCTCCTCGCTCGCAGTCCTCGTACTCAACAACAAACGCGGCATAAGTGACCCCGCGGTGAAACGGACCCTCTGCCCTGCATGTGACGGCGTGCTCGTCCCCGGACACACAGTCTCTGTGCGCGTACGGCGTGAGTCGCGTCTATTTGTTTCTCACAACGATCCAAAGAACGCCCTCAGCGTCGAAAACGCACACGCACACGATGGCGTTTACGTGCAAGTCCTGCGGTGCAACGCGCCGAATCCCTGCCCCGCCATCGATATCCGGCTCTTCGTCCCCGCCGCCCAGTCTTCAGCAGCCGAGTGGAGACGATCTCACTCCCAATCCAAATGCAAACCCAGGCAGACGAAAGCGTCGGAGGCCCGCCCGCGCGAAACGGCCGCCCCTGGCGGCGCGTGCTGATGCGGGACACGTCGTCGTGCGCGGTGCAGATGCGTTGTTGCCGGCTGGGGCCGGGCCGGGGACGGGATATGGGTCACGTAACGGTCGTCGCGTTCCGTGTCGGATTCCGGCTGTGTGCATATTCGTTCCGGGTCTCTGATATTACAAGTGTATAATGATGATAGCCGTCAGCTGCGGCTCACTCCAGCGCCCAGTTGTTCTCCTTGATGAGCTTCTCGCGCTCGAGCAGGTACTTGCCTGTCCCAGGCAGTCAGCAGGCGGGGAGGACCCGAGCAAACGAGCGTGATACGTGCCTTCCTTGTACCGCTGACTGAAATCCGACGCCTTGTGGTAGAACCAGCCCACACGCTCGTTGCAGCCCATGCAGAAGAGGTCCGCGACCGTGTGCACGCCCGTGCTATCGTGTGTGTCAGGCCGGCTGCGATGCACTCCACAGCCAGAGGGAGGCGGCGGAAAGAAGCACGCACATGAGACTGCGGTCCTCCCGTGCGCCGAGTTTGACGTTCGTGGCTGCGTGCATGAGGTACCCCCGCCCGTCGCGCCCCTGGAAGAGCTTCGTAATCGTCTCGTCTTGCAGTGCCTGGGCAGTGATCCATCGGTCCACGTTCGGAAGACTGCAGCGAGAACACGCACGAGCACGGCGGAGCACCGCGCACAGCTGTATACTGGGCGGGCGGGGTACGCCTGGAGCACATCGGCCTGGGTGTTTGCTGAGATTGGACGGGACATGGTTATCGGGGGAAAGCTCGGTGACGCATCCAAGTGGTCGACGTCGAAAGCAGGAATGGGTGAGCTGGGGTGATGTGGGGAACACAGCGATAAGGGTGATAATCGATAAGATCATGAGCCTCGATGATATCCGGGAACGTCGAGCCCCCGTTACAGCCAGTAGACTATCCGCGCATGTCATCTATATTACCCCCCCTCAAAGCCTGTGCTCCACAGTCCCAGCATGCAGCCCGGCCTTTTGATCGCCATTGACCTGCATGCCGAGCTCCCGATCGTCGTAGCTCTCAGTGACCACAAAGATCTTGGTCGCCTGCAGCTCGATGTCTGCACCACCGGTCCGGTTGCCTGTCGAGAGGGGCCGACGAGGCCGGGTGGCGAACGCGGCCCCGCGCCGGCCAGAGCCGGACATCTCATTCGAGCTCGTGTTATTCGTCGTCCCGCGCTGGGTGCTGAGGATCAGGTGCTGCGCAGCTGCCGATCCTCAGTACCGGTGCACGTAGCAGAAGATACCCAAAGCGGCTCACCGATCAGGACGACCGCGAGCGGCAGAGTCGCGCCGACCCCGGTTTTGAGAACCTTGCCCCATTCGAGGACGACCCACAGATTGGCGAGGAAGACGGCCAGAGTGTACAGCAGCCCGTTCCGCAGCACGCGGCGGAGGAATGCTGACATGTTGCTAGAGGGACGGGTTGATCCAGGTCATCGGCGGAGGAGCGCACATAGGAAGACTGACAAGGATCCACCGAGTCGCGACGACGCGACGAGATAGAAAGTGCCCACTGCACAGGCGAGGAGATCATAGGCCATGTGAGCCGAGTAGTAACTATGGGCGCATTATGTAACATGGACGTCGCTCGGCAAGTCCACCCACACGATATTCCAATCCGGCTACGAACCTGTCAGGCTCTGATACGAGATAAACTGATTTCCTCTCACCTCGTTCTTGCTGAACACTTTTGCTTTGCATCTATGAAGGGCAGCCTCAACGTTCCGACACAGGCTCGAGTCGAGAGTGGTACAGACTCTCCCTGTGAACAGTGTCAGGGCGGGACGTGTACACGGGGAGAGGAGCTTACACCAGTGATTTCAGGCTGAAGATTGCATTTGAAATCTGAGCCAATTACGCAGTACAAGGAGACGATTACCCACCTGCCGATGATACACAATTCCAAACAATTGAATCTGACATAGCACGAGGTTAGAGTTCGTTCGGAGATTGCTGAGCTCGGCCGACTGGACTCACGGGAAATCCGAGGAGGAGCACGGAACCGAGCCCGTAGAAAACAATCGTCGCCCGCCCTGAGATCGCATACGTGCTGGATACAGATCGTTCGGCCAAGCATTCCATGGCGCCGCAAATTCAGGACGCACCGGAGAAATACGAGCACCTGGACCGCCATCCCTGCGAACACTGCGAAGCTGATGTGAGTGTATAGATCATCGGAGACCGGAGGTCCGAGGAAACCAAAGGCGCACTGGCGGTCAGATTGGGCACGAGAAAAAACGGCCGGCACGACGCGAGCGTGAATGTCGTGCTGAAGAAGCCTGCCGCATCTGCGTGAGCGAGGAGGGCACGCGTGTGGGCGTGGATATCTCCTCGGGCGCACCGATTCCGTTGGTAATGAGCGAGATGAACGTCATGTACCGCGCGATTGCATATGCTGCACAGGCGACGCTGAGCGACCTGTTGACCCATTGCTTGTAATACAGCCGAAGCGTCGCCGGGATCGTCTGCAGCATGTCGCCGCCCGCGAGGCTGAACGAGCTGCTCGCGCACCATCAGAGCGGCTCGGCGTTTGCACCCGGTGAAAGCACATACATGATTCGGAAGATGGCTGCCCGGTTGACGGTCATAGTGTGGTAGCGAGCGTGGAGGAGCAGTGGAAGAGAGAGGCAGAGGGATAAGGCAACTAAATTGCCATTCGTGCAAGTCTTCAGATTTTCTCAGGTAAGTACCTCCAGCGTTTTGGGCGGACTGTCGCGTGCGCTCTGTGGGCCGAGAGATACTGACGAGAGATCGAGGAACTGATTTGCGTTTGCTATCGGTGATGGCATCATCGATCAGCCGCCGCAGTCTTCCGATCAGAAACGTGGTTCTGGGCTTTCATTCTGTTGGAAAGCACCAGTGGTCGTCGGTTCCAGGTCGGTTCGGAAGGGAGAGGCGACAGGAATCTCTTACGATAGCTTCTGCGGCCCGTGGGATGGGAGAAGCCCGGCCACACGTGGTTCAAAAAATAGCACATCCAAGGTATTACTTACCGCTGTCCCCGGTGCTTAAAAATTGACGATGGATATTGAAAATTCAACCGTGGATCAAGGAACTCAACAACTTTGGAACGTGTGAAAGGTTTGACAGGAACACACTAACCGGCAACTAGCGGCATGACGTACGTGCGAATTCCATCCACTCTTTCCTCGCGTACCTCACTCTGGCCTGCACTGGCGTAGCTTGGAAATGAACAGATTTGCTCCGAGAGACAGAGCCGACCGGGAATCGGGACCCACCTGCCCCGTGCGCCGACCGAGGCTCGATGGCTCGTCCCTGGCGAGCCCTGGCGAAACAGAATAAATCAGCAGTTCTGATGATGCCGTGCCTAGCAACTTGGTAATCGCATTTGCACTTAGGCGTTGACAGGATCTGCGCGTGGTCCATCTTTTTCCCTGTGGTTCGCGATCATTCAAAAGGGCGCGAAGCCAGTCGGGGAGGGCTCACGCTGCGGCGCTCACCCTTCCACCCTCGTTTCCTTACTTATGTTCTTCTCTTCTGCCCTGCGGCTCGCGGCTGCGGGCGCCGTGCTTCTCTCTTCCTCTGCCCTTGTTCACGCCCAGGACACCAGCAGCAACGACACCCAGATCAGCACCAGCCAAGTTAGCACCAACGCCAGCGACATCAGTGCCTCGGCCGCCGACTTGAATTCGACGTTCGCTCTCAACGCGACTCTGCACACCGCGGCAGTGTTCCGCTTCCGCCCCTTGACGTCTCCTCTCGGGCCGGTTGTTGACTTGGGGTACGTCTCTTTACCCCTATCCCGTCTGCGGTCTCTAACGCGATGGGCGCAGTTATGCTGCGTACGCTGGTAACTCGTCTCTTGATGGCATTACTTTCTACGGCGGGATCCCCTACATTAAGCCGCCCGTCGGCAATCTTCGTTTTGCTCCCCCTCAACCTTTGACCGAAATCTACAACCTCTTCCTCGGCAACAGCGACGTCGTCGATGCGCGCAACTGGGGCCCCATCTGCATCCAGCAGCCCGCCGTCGTGGGCATCGGCAGCGAGGACTGCGTGACGCTGAACATCTGGAAACCCGCCGGCGCCACCGCGAACAGCAAGCTGCCCGTCTACGTCTACATCCACGGCGGGGGCCACTACTACAACTCGTGCGTCGGCCAGCCGTCTCCCCGCGCGGCGGCGATGTTGCTGACACATCGGACAGAGCGCAGGGCTTCCCCGCCAACGACTGGGTTGCGCGTTCCAACGGCGGCCTTATCGCCGTCGGCATCCAGTACCGTGTATGTTATCTCGCCTGGATGCGACCGTCGGCGCCGGCTGACCGGCCCCCGTCCTGTAGCTCGGCATGCTCGGCTTCTTGACCGGGAACGGCATCCGACAGGACCGGTCCGCGGGCCCCAACAACGGTCTGCTCGACCAGCGCGCGGCTCTCGAATGGATCCAGCGCAACATTGCGGCCTTCGGTGGCGACCCGAGCAAGGTCACGATCGGCGGAGAGAGCAGCGGCGGAGGCTCTGTTGCCCTGCACATGACGGCTTACGGTGGCGAGCGCAACCCGGTGCGTCGAATTTCATCTGTCTGCCTTCTTCGCGCGGACTGGCGGGGCTCATTTCGTGTGTCCAGCCGTTCCGCGCTGTTGTGATGGAGAGCCCCGGGAACGATCCGTTCTATGATGATAGCCACAGCGAGCAGTGCTTCGTTGACGCTCTCTCGCACATCGGCTGCCCGTACGATAACAACGTCGTGAGCTGTCTCCGGAAAGCCTCCGGTGCGTCCCTTCCACTGTCGTTCTGGATTTCCTTAGCTGAATTCCGGTTCAGTGGGCGCCATCGTGTCAGCGGTCAACAACAAGCTCGGATCGTGCAAGTACGAGCCCGTGATCGACTACAACTACGTGCCTGGCATCACCAGCGAGCTTTTCTCGACCGGTCGGTTCAGCAAGGTCCCCATTCTCGGTGGACATAACGCCCAGGATGGCTCGATCTTCGTTGGCAAGCCTGCCCAGGTCAACACTGATGCAGACATGGTCAACGCTATCCTCAAGCGCTACCCGACGCTTTCCACGCCGACGACCAACGCGATGCTGCAGACCTACCCGCCCGTGTCGGCGTCCACCCCCTGGACGACTCAGTGGGAGCGGACCATGTGGGCTTACATGGAGAGCGAGGTGCGTGAATGACGTTTGCTGTCCCCAATCTATTGACCAACTCGTTGTCGCAGCTCTCATGCTGGCCCTGGTACATCGGCAACGTCTCTGGCCAGCCAGCGTACAACTACCGCTGGGACGCTGTCGACCCGAACCTCATCGCCGCTCGCGGCGCCTACGTCGGCGCAGCACACACGGCCGAGCTCTTCTATCTGTACGACGGCACGAATTCGGGCCCCAGCGCGTCCGTCGCGCAGCCCGTCTTCACCGCTTTCTCAGCCGCCCAAGGCGACCTCGCGAAACAGGCCGTCGCGTGGTGGTCCAGCTTCGCGATGACGCTCGACCCCAACGCGCACGCGGCCCCCGGCGCACCCCGCTGGGAGCCGGCGAGCCAGAACGGCGGGTTCATGGTCCCGAATACCGGCGCGTCGGCTGCGTCCAGCGCGATGTCGTACATCGACGCGGACTACCCGCGGCGGTGCGCGTGGTGGCGCAGCGTTGCTGAGGAGCTCCGGCTCTGAGCGCGGTTGCATTTTGTAGTTGTCATGCCCTGTTTAATATCTCTCCCTCTCTCCGTATATACTCCTGCTCACGACCTAATCGCTCCTCGTACTTTCTTTGGAGGAACACTTGGATATTGCGTTCATGAATGTACATAGGCCTTCGACTTCACATACATAATCTTACATTTGTACGCACGGGAATATATTCCTCCCCATGTCTCTGATTTGTGCGCATTCAAAAATAGTGCAGATTGATCCCAAGACAATATATGAATGGCTTGAACATACGGATCATCTGCAAGGTTGTAATCATGTGGGCCAACGTGAAATACGGCCAAAAGAGGACTGCCCTCAGAGGACATCTAACAAGCGACGCGAGCAGGACTTGAACCTGCGCTCGGAAACCGAAACAGATAAAGAGGCGTTCTAATCTGTCGCCTTAACCACTCGGCCATCGCGCCATGAACTGCATGGTCACGTGAATGAGTGTGGTCCAAATGACTGCATCGTGGATAGCATTTCCTTTTACCACTTGGCTCCTGCCCCCAGGTAGCTTAAAAACATGCGACCATAAAGTGAAAGCGGATTCAAATTTACCTTGTAAACCCCGGGCTATATTCAGTTCAGGTGGCTTGTGCATTGCGGGCGGACGTACTTGTGATTTTTGAGTAATTTGGAGACGGATCGCAGGGTGGCACGCGTTGATCGCAAGTGCCTTACACCCAATTGCAAGGCTATATCCCTTCAACTCATAATCTGCAAAACTTTGAGAACTGATATGGATTCCGAGCCTGCTTTGCCAGTACGCCTGCCCACATCAATGTCATGTAATAGATTAGTTTGACAGTCATCGTGTCGCAAAGTGAGATATCAGGGACAAATTATTGCTATTTGAAAAATTGATGTCTTCTCCAAAACAAGAAAAAAAAATCTAGTCGTGTGTCTGCGTGTGAGGGTTAGGGTTGACAGCGCACAGCCATTCGAGCGCGTTCTCACCTCCACGCTTCCACACGCTTTTCCTCAGCATGGCCCACTACCGTGAAGGCTCCGAACAAGAGGAGGAGGAATTCGAAGAAGACAAGTGGGATCACAGCGGTAATGGCGATGGCAGCGGTTCTGGGGCCCACGGAGATGGAGAGGATCAGAGTGACCAGGGAACCCCGCATCTCGACACATCCACAGGTGTGTGTACATGCTCATATAACACCTCCCCTTCCCGAGCCAACTGTCTTGTAGAATCTGAGCACAACATGGGACGTGGTGTCTCGTGCGATCTCTGGCTCACTCGGTGTATCCGAGAGAATGAGAAGAAGAAGCGGAAGAACGCACGGTCAACAGTCCTAACAAAGCATGGCCTTTTCTTCCACGAGAACTCCTCAATTTCCGAGCTCCTTGAAGCAGCTTTCGACACCGCTGGATGCAAGGACACCCTCCCATACAAAGTTGTCGCAAAGAAGCTCCGCACCACTGCCTTCATAGTGACAATGACCGTTCTTCACACGGGCTTCAAGGATGTTGCTATCAACGTTGAGAAGGATCTCAGGGACATCATTTCTGCAATGGAGGAGAAGGGCAAGAGTCGTGTGAGATTGGAGGTCACGGAGATTGCACAGGTGCGTCTACTTACCACTTTACTTGAGCCTCGCTGACCACTTGACCACTCGTAGGCTTCGGACGACACTCAAGAGCCTGAGGCGCAGGAGGAAGATGAGGGTCCCTCAAAGAGGCGGAAGGTGTGTGTCGCCATTGCCATGCGCGCATACATTCAGTATCTAATCTCCTTCCTCAGCGGCAAATCCCAGCTGAAGAAGTAGCCATGGCTGAGAAGATTGTGGAGATCCATCTCGCCAACCGTTGTAATGACCGCACCTGTCGACAACGCACTTGCTTTACCGCCAACGAGCTCGGCACACATGTCAATGTCACCCCGATGCTAGCGAAGATCTGGGCTGCAGCTTGGGTAAGTGTCTATCATAGTCATGAATGTTACTGGTTCACTAATAAACAGATTGCTGATGAAAAAGGCACAATATCTGCGGAGATGCCTCCGGGTCCTGAAACCGAGAAGGTGTTCTGGCCGCTTGCTCTGGACGGACAAGACAAGTTGGACAAGCCCATCGATGACATCGCCCTGCTTGCATCTCGCTGCTTGAACTCCGCTAACAAAGCGACAACATCACCAACCGTCACAATCAACAATGACTTTGCTGCATTTGCCTCCCTCCTCCAGCCTCTCCTGCCCGCAACCGCTCAAGCACCACAGACTCCTACTCCCGCTTCTTCCACTCTATCAGCCCCGATTCATATTACATCCCCTGCTAAGCCTGCCGCAATGACGTTCGAAGCATTCTGCGAAGCGTTCAAGCTTCCACCGGAGATTTTTCAGTCGCTTGAGGGAATCCACATTGATGGTCCGCATATCCTGCCGTATCTCACCAATGAGGACCTTGACAAGTATCTTCCGCTGGGTCTGCGTGCCCGTTTGCGCTTTGCGCAAGCTGAATGGAGAAAGGGCAAGGCCTCGGTGGATGGATAACAGACCGTCATTTGGTATCACTACTTACGGACTCTCATCGGACATTGCATATTGTTACGGACTCTCATCGCATGTTGTATTCATGTCTACTACATTGTTGTAACCATTCCACTGTACTCTTCTGTAACCTTTCCATAGCAATGAAACATCCAATCCACGTATAGTAACAGAGCAATCAAATCAGTCCGCTGTGTCGAAAAAAGCCCCAGGTCATCTCAGGTGTAATTATACGACATGCGAGGTGTAACTCCAAATAAGCTTGTCTTGAGGAGAAAGCTGCCAATCCAATGCGTCGGAGATGAGACTTGATGGCTGACCAGGCTTGTTCGATTGGATTCAGGTGCGGGGAGTATGGAGGAAGGTATTCGATTCGGCAGCCTAGCAGAGATGACTCCAAGTAGGAATCTGATGAATAGAGCGCACCATAATCTTCGACAAGCTGCTGGATGTCATCTGAGTGGTGTATCTTTGCGTTATCAAGCACGAGGACACTACAGGGACCAGGATAGGGATTCATCATTGGCAGCTTGAAGCATTGAGCATGAATTGAAAGTCAAGAGACTGCCCACGCACCAGGTCCTTCTCAAGGAAGTCGTAAAATGTGTCATGGTCTGAAGATCCCTCTATCACCCGCGTCGCAATCATGCCCTTGTCCAATGCCATCCCACCTATCACCGTATACCGCTTCTTCCGAACGAATGGTTGATACACCTCCACGCGTTGTCCGATTGGGGCACGGCCACCAAGTCTCGCATATGTTCTATCATCCTTTGCCATCTCATCAACCGCCACCAGGTAGTTGGCGGGATATTCAGCAATCCGTGCAATAAAGTCTCCCTCCAGCACTGGGTCCCTCTCTGAAGCCATGCGCTGTATCCGTTTCACGTTGATGCCAGCACGGCAGAAGGCGTAATGGATGGTGGTGATATGCACTGGACAGTGCCGAAGGCGCGCGAGAAGGTCTTGGTACTCATCGAGAAATTTGGCGGGCTGGTGCTGCGAGATTCGGATGAGATAGTCGAGATCGTACTTGTGCAGGATGGGTTTGCGTCCCCGGCGGCCTGCAATCTGGGTGGTGTCGGCATTGCCAGTTCGTCGATACTGGGTGACAGCGCGTGTGAGTGTTCGGGTCGAGAATCCACATATGTCGGCAATTTCACGTTGAGAATGCCCCCCGCGCTTCACGAGGCGTACAGCAATGGTCTTAGCGCTGTCGAGTTTCCGGCAAACCATCTGTGCGCTGTCAACCCTAACCCTCACACGCAGACACACGACTAGATTTTTTTTTCTTGTTTTGGAGAAGACATCAATTTTTCAAATAGCAATAACAAGTGTCTGAAGCCATGAGAAATTTGGCTATGCGCGTAGCCGATTCTGGGGTCATTAAGGGTGTACACAAGTTCCCGCAAGAATCGCTGGCCATGAGCTGTTGAACTAATTGAGCGGTTGGGGTTCACATGAACTGGTGACAAACACGCGCTTACGAGCCGAAAGATTCCATCAGCGCATGTTGTCATCTTGGCGCTAGCCGGGCACGTCCAAGTATGACGCTCCCTTACTGTAGCTTGCCTGCACTGCACTCATTGTAACAACCCCGCCCAGCAGCACACCGTACCGTACCCACAAACGAACCCACACCGCAATGTCGAGAGAAATGGGCTGGCGCTCGACCATCTCGTCCTCGATGCGCCGGGCGGTGTCCCACGGCGACCTGAAGCAGGCGAACTCCGCGCCGCGGACGCAGACGTGGCGAGAGTGGGCCGGCGCGACGGGGCAGCGTATCTCCGCCGGCATCCGCGGCGGCGGCGGGGGCACGGGACGGGACACCGAGCGTATCGCGATGTTCCCTGGCTGGGCGGCGAGGCGCTATAGGTCCGACGAGATTGGGCTGCATCAGGGTGCGTGGGATCTTACCCTACGGTGGGCGTGTATGCATGACTCGCTTGTTGTGCAGACGCGTTTGACGTGGATCTGTTTGTTTCTGGATTCGCCTCGAGCCACCGGGCACCCGAGTTTGCGAGCCGCTCGCAGCGCGCGTTTATGAGGTTAGCCAAGGGTGCGTATGTGTGCATACATCGCGACGAACGGGGTCTGATTCCGAATATCGTCGCAGGATTCGCTGCACTCCCGAAACTCGATGGCAGCCCGCTCACTGCGTCCACCGAGGAGCTCATGAAGACCGTGCAGCTTCCTCCACCACCAGAAGATATGACGGACGACTACGAAGCACAGGCGCTTGAGCAACAGTTCCAGCGACTCCGCGTAGAAACCAACGAGACCGCCAGTAACGATGCCGATGACGCCGAATCTGTGGAATCCACGTCGCAGTCTACGCCCTTCCACGTCCCGAGCGCGATCTACCGCCTGCACAAGAACCTCGAGTCCCGAATACAGCCCTTCTGGTCCTCCGTGATCCCCGCACGCACAGTCCGGCTGCACCTGTACGCCGCGCCGCACAAGGCCAACAACCACGCAGCCGAAGAGCGGGACGCGATCGAATACGGCCCGATCGCGACCCGCGTTCTCACGACCGCCGTGGACGGCAGCTTCCAGGCGCGGATGCATGTGTCGTTCGAGGAGCTCGCGCGCCATCCCGGGGCGCTGCACATCGCGTTCGGCGAGGCGACGGTCGAGCACGAGCTGCTCGTCACGGCGGAGCTCCTGCCCCCGAAAGCGGGGACCTCGAGCGCAGCGCGCCTCGCGAAGACGAACGCGCTGCACATCCCGCTGACACACTCGCGCGTGCGCGTGATCTCGGACGTCGACGACACGGTGAAGCTGTCGGGCATCCTCAGCGGGTCGCGCGCGGTGTTCTACAATGTGTTCGTCAAGGAGTATGACGAGATCGTGATCCCGGGGATGGGCGAGTGGTATACTGCGATGTGGAATCGCGGTGTACGGTTTCATTATGTTGTGCGTGATATGGACTGGCCGGTCCTTGGCTAGGACTAACCTCTAGCTAGTCCAACGGTCCGTTCGAACTGTTGCCAGTGTTGATGGACTTTTTCCGCTCAGTACAGCTGCCGCCTGGGAGTGTCAAGCTGCGGTCGTACGCGGGACGGTCGCTGTTCAGTGGTCTGCTCTCGGCGCCAGCCGCCCGAAAACGAGCGGGTGTGCAGGAACTGGTCGTTGCGTTCCCAGACTCCAGCTTCATCCTCATCGGGGACTCGGGCGAGCAAGATCTCCAGCTGTACGCCGAGTGAGTGACTCACTCGTAGTACTGGCGTTCACCTACTGAGCGCCGCAGCATTGCGCGCGACTACCCTGAGCAGGTGCTGGCGGTGTTCATTCGCGACGTCGACACGAACGAAGCCCCCCTCGACGATCCGACGGGCCAGAACCACGCGATGCTCGACCAGATGCCCCAGCGGTCCTGGTCGACCGCCTCCAGCACGTCATCACGGCCCCCAACGCCATCATCATACCACCCACCGAGCAACAACTACTTCCTGTCTGCGACGACACCCATGACGACGGAACCGGAACCCATACCCTCGATGGTCGCGAGCAACACTGCTGCTGTCAACCTCAAAATACCGAATTCCCGTGCTGGTACTGGCATGGAGCAGCCGAATCGCCGCCGTGCCGAGCTGCAGGTTAGGGTCTGGCGCGCTAGGAGGCAGATCCCGCCACACATCCCGTTGCGGCTTTTCAGGGAACCCAGGGAATGCGTGGCCGAGGCGGAGGGGTTGCTTGCGGGACTGCGGTTGTAGATGTAAAATAAGTATAAGAGCATTGTAGCTTTAGGAGCAGCAAGTTTTCAAGAAAGGAGATTTGAAGGGGTACTATTGGAATGGATCGTCTGCTCTGCAGACATGAGACGAAAAGAACAAAACATACGACGCGAGCAGGACTTGAACCTGCGCTCGGAAACCGAAACAGATGCAGAGTCATTCTAATCTGTCGCCTTAACCACTCGGCCATCGCGCCATGGCCTGGAAGTCCATGTGAGATCCTAAAACTTTTGGACTGTACATGCATTTAGACCCCACACGAATATTCCACACGATTCTACTGTTTAGACCCACTCATCTCACCGCGCAGCCGCAAACCCACCACGCGACAGACTCTCTGGCACCCCGCCCACACAGCTATCGGCCTTGCTCTTATCCGCCGAGACGTGGATGACGACCTGCCCCCCGACGCGGAACACGTCGTAGAAGTCGAAATGGCAGCGCGAGGGCGACGGGACGCCGTTGACGGTGACGTTGACGACGTACGCGGGGACGCCGGGCGGGATGGTGTGCTGCACGGAGCGCGCGTCGAAGCCGAGCGTGGTGACGGTCGTGGACGTGTTGAGGTACGCGTTGTGGATGGTGTATTGGGGGGTGAACGGGGACAGGACGAGGTACTGCGTCGTCGACGGGACCGGGTACAGCCCGAGGAGATGGAAGGCGAGGAGGGAGGCCATGGCGGCTTGGTCGTCGTTCCCAGGCAACCCCGCGGGGGCTGCACACGCAGTCATTGAACGATCGAGTCTCTAGCCGTGAAGGAGCAAGTGGACGCACTGATGTCAAAGTTCTCAAACACAATAGCTCGAACTCGGTCCACGCTCTTTGCGGGATGATTCGCGTAGTGGTATCCAATCGGAGTCTGTGAAACGACTGTGAGACGGGAGAGGGAGCATCCAATGCACGCACCTGGAATGAAGGCTCGTTGCCTGCTCCATAGTAGCCGGCTGCAAAGAAATGATCTAAGCGCTTCACGAAAGTGTCCTGTAAGCAGTTGGCGCTGCGCCCTGATCAGTCAGAATGAAGAACTGACATTACCGCCCATGAGCTTGATCAGGTAGTCAGTGTCATGCGGCGCAAACCTAGCGGGACAAAGTCAACATTCCCGCCGCGGATTGAAGGACGGTACACACCAGCTATATTCCCATGACGAGCTTTCATAGAAGCCATTCGTGTTGTCCGACTGCAGCGAACACTCGGTCGTGACATTGTCCACAGGCGAGCAGTGTTTCGGATCTGTAAAGTTGAATTTGCCGCTGCTGTATCGCTTCTGCGCAAATCCTTTGAAGCCGTCGCTCTTCACAGTCGGATCCCTGCCATCATCAGTTCACTCTGGACACCGCCCTCGTCAATCACCGCGTACCAGACGTTGCGGTAGTTCTGCAATGGAACGAGTAAGCTGGATGCCTTCGGCCGCTCGATCGAGAACCCACCAAGGACCGGTTGGCAAAGACCGCCTCGTCGTCAGTCTTGCCTAGGAGCTGCGCAATCTGCCGGATCGCAAAGTCTTCGAAAGCGTACTGACGGCTCGGTCAGACGACATGACGTGACGCGTAGCAGTGAGCTTGGTCTCACTTCGAGAGTGCGACTGCCCTCGCGAGTTTGACGGCCGGTGCTGGACACGTCGAGCACTGGAGCTGAGTTGGCCACCCCACAGAAGGTCGAATGGAGGGACGCAATCACCTGCAAAAGGGACATAACCAAATTGGCTATGCGTACGAATCAGAAGGCTGGCCATATCTGGCAACCCACGGAAGGCTCACTTGTATACATTTGACTGCCTCCCCTGGATGTTCCACTCGGGCGGATTGACCTCCGCATCCGTCCACGCCGCCGAATACAGCTCCTGCAGGTCGATGCCCAGCGCCGCGGCCTCGTTGTGGTAGTGCGTCGCAAAATGCGCGACGATGACGTCGGCAGACGACCCGCCCTGCGTCCAGCCGGGGAGGTTGTTCGCCCGGCATTCGGGCATCCAGCCGTTCTTGCGCCAGCCGTCGATGTAGTTGTCCACGATCTGGGCGAACTCGACCGGGGAGTGCAGCGACATCAGCGGGTAGAACGTGCGGAACTGGGCGAGCGCGGTTAGCGCTACGGTTCGGTAGCTAGTACAAGGCACGTACGGTGTCCCAGCTGCAGTAGAGCGAGTCGAAATAGAAGGACGTCGTCCCGGCGAAGACACCCTGTGTCTCTCCCGTGGCATTGTTCTACGATGGGTGCTCCATGGAGAGATGGAACAGGAAGTAGGAAACGCACTGGCGTCAATGAAGATCGGTACAACGAGCTGTACAAAAGTTCAGTCACGTTCTGTGGGGTGTGCGGCACATCGATCTCAATCTTCGACAACTTGTCGTTCCATAGACTCTTAGCCTGGGCCAGAATATCCTCGAACGACGAGCTGCCCACTTCGGACTCGGCGTTGGCGCACGCCTGGTCGGTCGACACGAAGGAGATGCCGACCCGGATGTCGACTTGCTTCGGGTTGCCGTCGAAGGAGAACAGCGCGCCGCTTTCGTAGACTCCGCCGATCAAATTCAGCGAGAGGTTGAGATGCGTCTGCCCGAGGCCCTTCGCATCGAGCCCGAAGCTGCGGCAGCAGTCAGCGAATTCCCCGCACCACCGGGCAGGCAGGCCAGTTTCCTCACTTATCGCCAGTCCAGACACCGTATTCGGCCAGCTTCTGATTCCCGCTGGGGTTCAGATCGTAGCACGCGAACGCCTGGTAGTTGAACCGGCCAGGCCCGAAGCTCGATCCCCAGTGACCTCCGAGGGTGATCCGCGCATTCCCCGGGTCGATCGCCATCTCGCCCCCTGCGAACGAAGCGGGCAGATCGTTCGCGAGATCGAGCACGAAGAACGGCTGGGAGCCGTGCGGGAAGGTGAATCGCTCGAGGCCTGCGCGGCGAGTCGCGGTGGCCTCCATCATGATCCCGTTGTCAAGCGTCAGGGCGAAGTACCCCGGGGATGCCACTGCGGGATGCGTGAAACGAGCGTCGGCGTGACGTGCGACACAGTGGCGCAACAACAACAACACCGCACATACCGTCCGTATGGGGCTTCCGCAGTCTCTCGCGCGCCGCCAAGCGCGTCGTGCAGTTGTCGAATCCACCCGCGCACAGCAGCGGCATGATCTCAAAGTTCCCGTACGTGCCGAGCGACGACCCCGTCCCGCTGTCGTGCATCGGGCTGAGCCCGCGGACGAACTGCGTCGGGTCCGTGACGTAGCCCGCGGGCGCGTACCCCGTCATGTCCGTGGAGAACTTGGCCATGCCGAACGGGACCGACGCGCCGGGGCACACGTCCCCGAAGTTGTCTGGCAGAGAAGACACGTGTCATGCGGCGGCTGCTTCGGGCACGGGGGCGGGGGTCGCGGGCTGCTCACCGGTGCCGATGAACGGGTTCACGAAGGCCGTGTAGTCGAGCGGCCCGGAGGCGGTGGACGCGCGTTTGATTGCGGCGGCGATGCCTGCTTGGACGGAGGGCGCGGGCTGCGCGCGGACGACGCGCACCGGGGCGAGGCCCAGGCCCAGGGCCAGAGCGAGCAGAACGGTCGAGGGAGAGAGACCCATCTACGTATGTATGCGCTTCTTCTGACCGACAATGCAGCAGCACCCTTTAGTACCCCCTCCCCCAGCCCCGCCCTATCCCCCACAGTCTTCGTATCAATCAAAGAACTGACGATGAAGGGAAACTGCCTCCGGTCGTGTGTCCTTTCTCGTTCGAAGCACCCGATTTCCCAAGCGCTCCACACTCCCTGCGCCAGTCTGCGACACGGAATGTGCCGGATGGGCAGTCAGGATGAAGGAGAACTCGGTCGCGTGAGGTGTCGCGGTCTGATGACGGGAGCGGCACCCCAAGGAGAAAGAAATAGCGATCACGACACGAGCTTAGACGGTGCTCAAATAGAGTGGTATTTCGAGTGTCAGGGGCATCAGGAAGAGTATTCATGGAGGTTGCTTCATAAGCGCGTCAGGCAAAGCTGGGTGTCGTGGATCATGGAAGGTTACAGGTGCAACTCAAGGGTTTAGAAGAAGAGAAGCGCCGGGAGTAGAGTCACTGGAGCAGGTGACTAGGAGTGCCAAACAAGCCCGATAAGATAAGACTGGTACCACTCGATCGATGGCGGCCGACACAGCTTCCTCGCAACGGCGACTATGACCCGACTACTTTCGTCATCGCTGCGCAGAACGACCTCGAAACCTGCCAATACACCACACTCTCTCGCTGTCTCAAGGTACAGGGGGCACACGTGGCACAATTGTCCGACGGGTGCTCTCCAACGTGTATGCCACAGAACAGTTCAGACTACATCTCCCTCGCACCCGAAAGCATACTCTACAGCAACCGCTCCAGATATACTAGACAAATACCGCTCCCTGGTTTCTGCAGGACAAATTCAATGGGACGACGAGCAAATTCGTGTCATCATGCAGGTCAGCCTCCTTTCGGCGAATTTCGCAGGCGGTTCGGTAACTCATCTCACAAAGCTCAGGAGGGTACAGAAAGAGCTGCTGGACTACTCACCCGCGATCGTTGCGCCGCATCTGCTTGACCCAGCGAGCGCCGGATCATCGGGGTGGTGGCAACGAGACGGAAACTCTGCCGAGAGTCGCCAGACGCGGGGATCCGAGTCAATAGACAGATCGCTCGTCCTCCTCAAGAGTGTTTCCGAAGAACTGGCTGACCTGAAGACGCCCAAGGTGCGGATATATCGCCCGACACATAGCAGCAAAATTGACACTGGTGCGTGCTATATAGGGAATCCTGTTGACTGGTCCGCCCGGCTCGGGAAAGAGCTTCCTCATCGACCTGTGGCTCTCGTGCATCCCGACCCCTTACAAGACGCGCAAACATTACCAACAACTCGTTCTCGAGATATACCGCGGAGTCTGGGAAGAAACCCGGCACCGCATGGCTGCGGCTCCATCCCGCGTCGCTCCCGACTACCCGGATGCCGATGCCGAACCATGGACACCCTCAGTCCGAGAAAAATGGCGGAATCTCGTCAAGTCCGGGAGCTTGCCCCAATTCTGGCGCCGAAAAGCGGGCCAAACCGGATCCCATGCCTCAGACCCTCCGATAGCGTTCAACGTGGCGCAGCGGCTGCTGCTGCGCCACTGGCTGCTCGTCTTCGACGAAGTGCAGCTGCTCGACATATCCAGCGCCACGCTCCTGGCGGACGTGCTATCGTGGTACTGGCGCATGGGCGGTGTGATCGTGGGCACGTCGAACAAGGTGCCGGATGATATATACAGGCACGGCGTGCAGCGGGAGAGGCTGGAGCCGTTTGTCGAGGCGCTCAAAGCGCGGTGTCCGGTGCTTGAGATGCGATCCGAGCGGGACTGGAGGCAGAGAGCGTGTGGGGCGGACGACTCGGAGCGGAGCTGGTTTGTGGGTGGCCAGGAGCGTCAGTTTAACCAAGTGGTCAGTTCCTTGTGTGACGCCGATCCCCAAAGTAAGTCTGTCTTGAGAACGAAAGGAAAATTAGGGAGGCCATTAACCATCTGTAGCAGAAGTCAATAAAACACCACTGACTGTCTTTGGGAGAAACCTCGACATTCCGTGGTCCTCAGGCGGAGTCGCCCAATTTACGTTCAACGAGCTATGCGACGAGTCTCTCGGACCTGCGGACTACCTCACCCTCGCCGCCCGTTTCCACACCCTCGCGATCTCCGACATCCCCATCCTCACGCTCGCCGCGAAAAACCAAGCGCGGCGCTTCATCTCCCTCGTCGACGCGCTGTACGAAGCCCGGTGCCGGCTCGTGTGTCTCGCGGACGCGCGGCCCGAGGGGATCTTCTTCCCCGACGCACGGGCGCGGGCAGCGCCGGCGGGCGACCTGGATGTGATGCTGGCCGAGTCGTTCACGCACGCGCAGGAGAGCTACCGGCCGAACGTTGCGGCGTACGATGCACCCAAGATGCAGCAGGAGCTGGCGCATGCGCAGCCGCTGGCGCTGGACTCTCTGTCCCTATTCTCGGGTACGACTGTAAAATAGTTCATACACGCCCAGTCGGGGCTCTGATCATCTTTCCGATGCAGGCCAGGAAGAGCAGTTCGCTTACAAGCGCGCGCTGTCGCGGTTGATCGAGATGACGGGTCCCGAGTACGCTCGCACAGCCGAGTGGACTCCTTTGCAGGACCCGGATCGCACCTGGGAGAAGAACCTCCAGAAGGATCCCGGACACCGGCTTCCATCTGGGACCTCGGCCGGTGAATCACCAACGGAGGATGATTTGAGACCGGCTGCGCCCAAGCTCAAAGAGGACCATGTTTGGGGTGTCAGAGACGACTGGGGAGATTCCGCGAAAGATTGGGGACGCGGCGCGAAGATATATGAAAAGCCGTGAGTGAGCTGTCGCCCCATGACTTTTGGTGGAAAGGGTGTGAGCACTCGCGCACAGTTTTAAGTTTATCGCTCTGGGAGTTGCTTACGTAGATCGTTTGAACAGAGGGGTCACGTGCTTACCATAGCTGCCTGTGACGTCGGCCGTGACATCGGCAATTTCGAAAGTTGGCAACCAATATCTAGCGGTGAACCCCATCCTAGGCTAATCTCACGCAACGCAAAGCATCTCCGTAACTCGTGGCATCCACTCAAATCCAATGACACATTCATGTTTCCCGTGATCCATCGTGGCACACGTGAGACTTGGGGGTATTCGGGAGGGAACCAGGTGCTCAATGAGATGACGAGGACGTCGAACGGATTTTCATTCAGCACGGCCGAGGCACCAATTCCTGGACTTCATATTAGGGGGAATGAGTGCTACATAGCAGTCGACGACGGGGCTTGCCCCGGCCACCTCGCAGCGAAGCGCTAATACTTGCCTCGCCCTCACGCCACACAAACGCGTGCCAATCCCAATTTCGTCCGTAACCAGTCGCAAAAACCGAGCGTTTACTGGATGCCGTGCCGATGCGTCACAGCCGCAGAGACCCACGGCGGCCCCCTCCTTGCTTTCCCCCTCCCACCCGTCTCCGCGAATCAGAACCTACTGCAATGCAAGTCTCAGTCTCCCCTGGCGTGGGCTACCACGATGATTCGGACACCGATTCGACGCCGATGCTGCACGCGAGGGAGATGTTCTGGTATGCGAATCGCGAGTGGCTCCGGGAGCAAGGATACGTGCTGCGCGCTCGACTGCAGGAGGAGTGGAGTCCGACGTACGGGTGGCAGGGCGCAGCCAGCGACTCCGAGGATGCGTACATTTGGCCGGTGCGTGGCATGTTGGCGATCTTGGCAAAAACGAGGGGCGGGCCGGACCCGCTCGCTGACGCGCCATGCAGCAAGACAACATCATGGATGCGACTCGTGCCGTCGACGGCGCGTTCGTGTTGATGAAACGCATCGCGCGCGCCCGCGACGCGCAAGAGCTCGAGATCGCGACGTGGCTGGCGGAACACGACCGGGCTCATTATTGCGTGCCCATTTTGCGGGTCCTGGCCCGAGAGCGGGAGCCGGATTGGGTCATCCTGGTCATGCCGCTGCTTCGTGAGTACGACTCGCCGAGGCTCCAGACGGTCGGAGAGGCGGTCGAGTTCTTCCGGCAGATGTTTCTGGTGCGTGAGCAAACCGTGGGGTGCTTTTTTCACATCGTTTATCGCGTACAGGGCATTGGATTTCTCCACGAAAACAACATCGTCCATGGGTGAAAACGCACAACATCCTGCCAACTCATGAACGCTTATATACCCCGCTCTTCACAGGGACTGCTCGAGCAAGAATATACTGATGGATGGCGGGCCGTTGTATGCTGCCCCGTGGCATCCCATCCGGCAGGATTTCCGACGTGACTGGACGGGCAAAGCGTCCCACTCAACGCGCACTCGGCACCCCGTGCGATACCACTGGATCGACTTCAGCAGCTCGCGCCGACTCCTCTCTGATGAGGGAGATACAAGCGGGGATCGCGCCGCGGCAAAGTTCAAAGCCGACGTGTACCGTCTCGGCAAGTCGATCGAGGAGGACTTTCTCGTGGTGCGAATCGATGCTGTTCTCTTACTTGCTCATAGGACTCACCCGCGCCAGTGCAGGGAACCGAATACAAGCGCCCCAAACGCGGCTTGGATTTCATGCGGCCGCTGGTAGCCGCGATGACGCACCCGGATCCCGCGCGCCGCCCGACAATGGATGAATGCATGCGACATCTCGAGGAGCTCGTGAGGGGGTTGGGCTCCTGCAGACTCCGGTCCCGGCTGGCGGAACGGGGAGATCTTCCCTTGGTCCACGCTGTTCCGCACTGGGTGCGCCATGTGCTGTTCGTGCTGAAGAGGCTGCCTCCAATTCCTGTTCCGTCCTGAGAGTCTCGGATGATTTTCGACTCGGGAAATCTCTCGCAGCTTCTCGAGAAGCGAATATGCACAATATAATATTGCACTTGTGATTCTGATTGCATTCAACCGTGAGAATTATCCTGTGACCTCGCTGTCGAGGAAGAATTTGGAAAAATCACAATTCGTCTACGTCTGGTGAATTGCACAGCCCAGCCTGATCCCACGCAGACTCGAACGCGCCCCTGGAGGTATCTTTTCATGACACCTATTGCGCACAGGGCATACCATTCCTCCATTAAAAAAAATCCAGTTCAAGATGAATCCGGTTGAGATCCACCTAACGTAAAAACACGTACGAGCAAGCAGAGACAGCCAGATGGTGTTCGGACCGCTGCATCCCGCCCGGCGGCATCCGGTCCGGCAGGACTTACAGCGTGACTCACATAGACGGGCAAGGCGCGCCACTAACTCCGCACGCAACGCCCTGTCTGATAAAGCACCGGATCGACTGCAGCAACTCGCGCCGGCTGCGGGGGGCCGAGAATAAAATCTGGCACCGCGGCGAGGCGCCTACGGCCTCGGGAAGCTGATCAACTCGCTTTGGGAAGTGATGCTGTTTCGTACAGGTTTCAAACGCGATACGAATGCAGAGTCCAAGAGAACGAGTAAAAACGGGCCATTGGACTGCATGCGGCCGTTGGTAGCCGAGATGATGCATTCGGATCCAGCGGGCCAAACGAAAGTGAATACGTTGATGAGACAGCTTGAGGAGCTCGGAGTTCGTAAGGAGATTCGGTCCGATTCGGCCTAGCAAAATGAAGGGAGCATCCCTTGCTCCGCGCTGGTGTTCGTGCCAAAGACGGCATCTACAATCTCTGTGCAGTCTTGAGTGTTTTTACGATCGTGCACCCCCCTCATCTCTCGTATCTTCGAGGAACTAATATGTATATTACACTTTTGCAATGACAACTTCAATTCAACCGTGGGAACAATCTTCCCACGGTTGAGTGATCTACACCGGGTACTTCTCAGCCCCAATCGACTGCTTCTTAACGAACAGTCCATGCGGATCGACGCTCATCCGTGCATGCTCCAGCGCCGCGTAGTTCCCCGCCCAATACATCTCCCTCCAGTCCCTCAAGTCCGGATCGAGGTAGTTCGCATACGCGCCGAACTTCGTCCCCGGCGAGTTGCGCTGCAGCGCCGCGACGAGCCCGTCGACGAACGGCACGCCCCCCGCGGCGCTCCACGTCCCCGGTGTCGCGTATGCATAGAACTGGATCGTAAAGAGGTGCGCGCGGTGCGGGTACGCCGTGGCTGTGCTAGGCACAGAGGAGATTTGGCTGTCGCCGCCGCCCCAGAGCTCGAATTGGATGAACCAGGACGTGCCGGCGGGCGCGGGGTGCGCGGAGAAGTATGCCGCGAGGGCGGAGAATGCGTTTGGCGAGAGCGGGTTCGCGGTGGGGACGACGAGCGATTTGGCGTAGAACGTCGAGTGCTGGACAACAGTCAGTGTCTTAAATGCTGCAGGAGGAGTTCAATGGTGGCATACCATCTCTGGTTTGCCAATGGTGGACAGCGGAGAGCCTCCGTTGACCTCGACCAGCGCGTCGATCCAGCTGCGTTCCTGTACGTACCGGCCATTCGGCTCCCCGGCCGCTTTCAACAGCGGGGTGAAGGTTGCGTTGAACTGGTCCAGCGGGCCCATGTAGTACCCGCCGAGCTCAATCGTCTTGCCCGAGTCCCAGATGTTCGCCTCGATCCCCATCTGCTTCGGCACAGTCGCGGCCCACGTCTGGTACGCACCCATGACCTTGGCAAACGCGGCCGGCGCCAGCTGCGGATTGCTGTATGAGAAGGAGAAGCGGACGACACTGGACGGGGCCGCGTGCGTCTGGAATGTGTACTGCGTGACGATGCCGAAGGACGAGGCCGCCCCTCGTACGCCCTGGTGGGAACTGAGCTTCCGCGCGATCGGTTGTGTTATCGTCGCACTGACCTTCAATATCTCGGGATGCTGGGTGTTGCTGACGTGCACCAGCGTTCCATTAGCGAGGACGAGTTCAGCAGCGACGACCTGGTCGATCATGAGGCCCCAGTTGCGCGAGGCGAACCCCCAGCCCCCAAAAGCAGTATGTCCACCAACGCTTGGTCCAGTCTTTCAGCACAGCCGCAAGAACGCCAGCCGACGGCCCACTTACCCGACATACGGGCACACGCCATGCGCGAGTGCCCGGCCATAGCCGTTGAACAGCGCCAGCGCCACATCGCCCAGCCGCGCGCCCGGCTGGATGGCGGCGGTCTGGCCGGCCGCGGAGTACGTCACGGCGGCCATGTCGCGGAACGCGACGACCAGCTCGCCGTCGCGCGAGCCGTACCCCGACGCCGCGTACGAGTGGCCGCCGGACAGCGGCGACACCGGGACGCCGAACAGCCCTGCGCAGCGCACGGCCTGGGCCACGTCGGCCGCGTGGGTCGGGTACACGATTGCCGCTGGGGTGTAGTGGAAGCGTGTGTTGAAGCTGTGCCGGTTTTTCAGGGGTCAGTGGAAGCGCGTGGGGAGGCAGGGGCGAGGCGGCTCACGCGGCGGTCGAGGCGTCCCAGGTGGCGTTCGTGGGCAGCTCCACCTTCAGGCCGGTGCCCTGCAGACACAGCGCGAACGGCTCGATGCCTGGCGCGACTACCTGGGCCCGCACGAGGCTCGCGGCAGGGAGGAGAGCTAGCAGTGAGTAGACGAGCATGGTGAGCGGAGACGAGCACGCAAATCAATGTGCTATTTATGCTCATCTCTCCGTTCTGAAACGTTTTTCTGTTCGCTTTGCGCGCGAGCCGTCGTGTCAGGGACGAGATGTCCGCGCCGCTGTTAGCCCGCAGAGTAGCGGACGAGGGCTGAGGCTAGATCGTATCCCTATGTGGGATTGCGGGGATTCTCGAGCTGTTCAAACGACAGGTGGCGACCAGATCTGCCAGTTCATCATAGCACCATACTCCGGATTCCGATCCCAATGCGTTGCATCGGTCCAATTTTGGAGGCTGTCGTAGTGCAAGGAAGCTCAAACTTCATGCTGCTTGCTTGCTGGACAGAAGATCGAAGGCGCCGTACGATTGAGCACAAAGCGTTCATCCTCTGCAGCAAGTCAGGGAATCCTTATGAATTGCGAAACAGGAAGCGAGAATGACGATCCCGAGCATGATCTCAAGGATGCAAAAGCGAGATGGGATTCCGGGCGGGAGAGCGTTGCAGCCATCCAAACGCCGGCGAGCTGAATACTGACGACAAACTTGGGCCGCAGCGTCACGCGCAGTTTCTGATCGGCAGTTGTTGGTGGGATGGGAGGAGAAAGAACAAAGAATAGTTGTTTGTGGGGGCTTGATCTTAAACATCAACCGCCGATGCATTGAGTGTCATATTTTCAACGTGTGAACAGAGTCCAAGCCGCTGTAGCACAAAGGTAGTGCATCGCTTTCCTAAGACAGCCCACTTAGGCGAAGGTTGTGGGTTCGAGTCCCATCAGCGGTTTCTTTTTCAGGTCCGCTCACTTTTCATCTTGTCGGCAATCCATTTGTTCCTGAGTCCGTATTCATCGCGAAAGTAGCATCCGACACCCATCGCCTGGGACCAGACTCCTTCCCCTCCCTTCTGCTTCGCTCACCGTTTACTCTAACTGATTCTCTTTCGTCTCGGGTGAAGTCTGCAAGAAAGCCGTGTGTGCTGCATGCCTCCCCTCTCGAAGCCCCTACACCCTGTCGACTCCGACGCGTGCCCTGTGCCCTACTGAAACACAATCAAAAGAGGACCTGGTCGTAGAGCCCTCTCTCGGTGCAATCACCAATGGCCCGGCGACTCAGAGTGTATGCATGATTGCGCGGTGCTTTCCGGGTCCTCCGCCTGCACATTTTCACCCATTCGTAGACATGGGGATGTGGTCTGGCGAAGACTACGACACAGCACAAGGTTTCTAGCTCGCGCTTGCGGTCCGTCACAACACGAACACGATCCCTGCTCTCGCAGCATCGTGCGCGCGGATTCACTTCGCCCGCACTGTATTGACGGGTATGTGACCAGCGTGGCTAGTGGTTGGATGCGTCTTCGTGGTGCTGACTTCCATTGAATGAGATGACTGCTTAATATGGACTCGCTGGCCCTTCCTTGTGTGATTCGTTCTCGGGGAATGCACGGTATCGAATGATGTGCATAGACTGGGCACTATGCAGCCCACGCTCTAACCCTTGCAGAGCCTAGGCCCCGTGAGCGACTAGACGCATGTATTGATGCTCGGCTGGTATAGGACTTCGTGTTACGAAGATCTGGTGAGCCTTGCGACGACTTGTCGCAGGCTGGAACCCTGCCGCGGCATTGAGTTGTGCTGTAACGCCAATCCGGACAAAGGACAGAGTCACGATCCATTCGACCGCGCTGGTCCTGGACTCGTTTCCCATCAGCTCTCATGACCGCGGAGGGGTCCCATAGCCTGGTATTGCAGAAGCCACCCCTGATTCACCACGAACGGGAGCCCCGATGAGTTCTTATTCAGCGCCGTTCCTCATCAAGCTAGCCTAGACTGGATGGACCCTAGTCTTCTCTATTCGAATTGCCATTGACCAGATGGAATGAGCAGGAAACAGGCAGCGCAGATTCTGGCCGTGCATGTATGAGAGGAGGGTGAGAGCAGGATGCGACTGAGGCAGGCTGCTGGGACGGTGATTTTGTTGCTGGGATGAAGCGGGAACAGCAGCTGACTGGTTCTCATTTCCGTGCCATAAACCCGAGATGAAGTCATTTCCCATGGATCTGTTGGGGCTAATAGCTGCACAGACGTTTTCTCAGTACCTAGCCACCGTCGTTTAAAGCACAGTTCAATGCCGACCACCAGTGATCGCCAAATCCTGTACAGGCAACAGTTGGTGTCCGTGTCTTGCACACCAAGTTTCCGACGAATGAGTCCCAGGCATATTCAGAGTATGGGAACGAATCAGACGATACAAATGCACAGAAAGAAATATGATCTATCAAGGCGACAGCACCTTCTCCACAGCTGGCGCCTCGCCCAACTCCTCTCTCACGGACCCAAGGGGTGTAGCCGCACCCGCTTCCTCTGGAACGGGAGGAGTCGCAGAGGGGCTGCGTCTCGCAGGAGGACTAGCACGTGCCTGAGCCCGCGCACGCTGCGCAGCGGCCTTGGCCGCCTGCTCCCTCGCAGGAGACGACCTGCTGCTCGGCTTCCTCGGATGCTGCGGCTGACTGGTGCTTTTCGCTGACGCGCCGTCGGACGGCGAGGCGACCGCAGTCGGGGATGTCGAGCGGCTTTTCGCGTCCTCCGGTTCCGAGTGGTGATTCCTCTCGTCCGGATCCGCTCCGCCGAGTTGCATTTCGATCTCCATTTCAACTTCAGAGCTGGTATCGTTCTCTTCTATGCTTCCGGGATTGAGATCAGGCTCGAATTCGACGACGTAGTCGACCACGTCCGTTCCGGTCAGGGCGTTCTGGATGAGGTGGAACTCGTAGTCGACGTATGGGTTGCCCTCGATGCGGGTGGTGATCTCGACCGCCTCGGGGTCCCCGCTGGCTTTCTCGAGCATCGCTGGTTCAGGCATCTCTGCGGCAGGGTTCACGAATTCGCGGATTTGAATGGGCCGAGCGCTGTGGAGATGGGTGAGCTGGGCTACTCGGTGTGCGGGAATGACTGAGGGTGGAGACTCACGACTCGGCATGGTACAAGGTTTGGTAGATGTTCAGTCTAGTCACCCTCGAAGTTAGCAAGCGAACGAAACAGAATGTCAAGTCGCTCAGCGCACCTCGAGTTCAAGATATTCTCAGGCAGGAAGCTCACGGGGAGCAGATGCAAGACTTGCGTTATGAAATCCCACGTCTGCTGGTCGATGTCCGACCCCGAAGCCGCAGTGAACTGTCCCTGGTGCATGCTGAAGAGCTCGCAGGTGCTCCAGCGCAGCGTCCGGAGCAGTTCCTCGATGTGGTTTACGAGTGCCCGCGGGGAGGGGAGCTCGAAGGGCTCAAGGCAGGGCAGGAGATCGGGCCGCGGAGGGCCAATCTGCACGGGGATCGAGAGGACGGGTCGCACGGACGTGGACATGGGCTGAGCGGTGGCCGGGCGAGCAATGGGGGAAAGATGCAAGGATAGCTCAGCCGGAGCTTATATAGACTCGGGGCTCTGCGCTTTGGCGCTCCTGCCAGTGCTATTGTCCCAGTTTGGCGGATCTCATTGTTGGAGGACAAAGCAGAGCTTGGGCCTCATCTGATGCACTCGAGACCTTGCCATGCGCACTTGGGAAGTAGGCTTCATACTGAGCGCGCACTAAACATGCTTGTGCGAGGAAACGGCGAAGTCGAGTGGTGGGTACGGTGCAAGAGCCTGAAACCGGCCGGAGGACGGACCGGACCTGCCGACAGCTGAGCGCATCACGGCGGCGGTGCACGACCGTTCCCTTCTTTCGCTCTACTTGCTCGATGGCATCTTCAATGAGTTCAAGGCCTATGGAAGTCACGACAACAGCACTCCAGCGCACTCCTCGCCTGCGCCATCGTAGAATGTCGGCACCCATCCCGGACAGACCGACCCGTCTGCCTCCATGCCGACCCCTGCCTCTGTCCCTCGAGGCTCTAGACTTATCCCCCACGTCGCCCGCGCAGGCCTTGGCCTCGCTCCGCTTCGTCGTCCTGTCCCACCTGGCTCACCTCGAGCGACGTCTCTCCTTATTCGAGTCCGCGGAATGGGTGTCGACGGCATTGGACATGCTCCATTCCATCCGCGCGGAGGTGCATTCCCACATCCCCGACCTGCTGCTACTCCCGGACAACATAGAGCAAGCCCTAGACAACTTCAAGCCGCGCGATTTCGATTTCTCGTTCGACTTCGACCACGTCAAAGCGAAACTGAAGAAGCTCGTCGCGGGCCTGGAGTTAGACTCCATCGATCTGTCCAAGCCCATGTCGTACGTCCCCACGCTCTCCGTGCAGCTGCGCAACCTGCAGACGCACCTCGCGGACTGCCGCGCCTCCTTCAACAACTTCGACTTCGACTTCGATTTCGGAACCCCGACGCTGCCCCGCGCACCGGCATTCGACTTTGACTTTGACTTCGCCCGCGCACCCGCGTTCGATTTCGACCTGCCCACGCTGACGTCGGTGTTCGATGCCGTGCTGGCCGAGCTGCCGTCCCTCCCCTCGCTCCCGGTGATCGACTACTCGCTTCCGGCCACCATCTCGCGCGCCTCGTCCTCGTTGACGGCGTCGCTCAAGTCCTCGTCGGAGGCCATCCTAGGGGATCTGCACGAATCCGAGGCCGATGCGCAGGTCCACGCACGTGCTTTGGCGCTGGCTGAGGACGGACGCAAGCTTGTCACGTTCGATGATGTGCCTTATGCGTGGCAGAACAACCCCTACGTTCAGTGGGGCTACCGGTGCGTCGATGGGAAGCTGCCGTCCCCGGCCGTGCAATATCTGATGTGTTTCGGCCAGCTTCATTCCCTTGCGCCGCTGGCCTGCGATCGTCGTATCGGCGTTTACGCTGCACAACGAGACGATGAACATCATGACGCATCTGATTCCCCTGATCATCTGGGGCCTGGCGTTCTGCGGTGTGGTGTTCGTGCCCGGCGCGCCGCTGCTGAGCTCTCCAGGCGTGGTTTCGGTCGTGGATGCGCTGGGATGGTGTTTCAGCTGGCTGCCGACTTGGCTGACACGAGAAGTGGGGCGGTACACGCCGTTCGCTGGTGTGTTGTATAGCATGGACCGCATGAGGTCCAGTTGCTAATGTCGCACAGCGTATTCCATCTCATCGGAGCCCGTGCCGTCATCTATCTTCATCTCGCCGTATCCCAGCTTCGGCTTTTTCGCGGCTTCTGCGCCCAGCCCGGGGGCGATCTTCATGAAGAGTGATGCCGACACGGCCGAGTCGTTCTTCACGTTGTTTGCGCTTGCGTGCCTTGCCTGCAGTGTTTTGTGGCACACGATGTCCGGCTGCTCACACCGTGGGGCAATGGAAGCCTGTGCGCGGATCGACTATGTCGGAATTGGATGGTGTGTTTCGTGACTTTTTCGGCATTGTGTGTTCACGAAACCTGCCCAGGCTGATCGCCACGTCAATCTCCACTGTGGTGCATTACGGATACGCCTGTGCTGAGGCGGTCGTCGACTCGACGCCGCTGGGCCATGCGGTGCTCCACCCCTCGACGATGCTCACTTCGCCGCCGCCCGTGACCTGGGCGGATGACGTCGACCGTGGGCTGGGACCTGCGATGAAGGTTTTGCTGACCGTCGCACTCACATTGGGCGCGCCGTTCGTCGCGCTGGCGAGCTGGGCCAACCAGGCTCTGGACGCGTTCCTGCTGTACCATCCCATTGGGGCCGCGTGTCTCGTGATGTCTCTGGCCTGTGGCGTGACCGGCAACGTGCTCCCGTACTGCGACTGGTTCAATCGCGCGGAGAACAAGGTCGGTTAATCAGCGGCGATAAACGGACCTGGCTGATTGTTTTGTGCCAGATGCTCCGACTGGCGTTCTTTGTCGGCACCGCATTTTCGGGATTGGCTCCTCTCGGAGGCATCGCTGCTTTGCAGGGCTGGGGGGCAACAGGTCGATTCATCGGTACGCTCTCTCCCCAGCTTTCTCTTATTCCTTCATTCAAGCTAACGTCATTTCGCAGCACCTGTCGTTCCCTCGTTCCTGTTCTACATCCTCGGCATCGCGTTCTACGCGACGCTGACCCCAGAGCGGCTGATCCGCAGCAAGGGCCGGCTCGGCCGCGTGCGGGACTGGTTCGGCGGCGGATCCCATGCCATCTGGCACGTCTTCATCGTGCTCGCGATCCGAGCGCACCGGGACGGGATCCGCGAGATGCGGCGTGTGGCGATGCAGGGCGGATGTGCTGCCGTTGGGTTTGGTGCTTAGAGATTCTCTGGTGGTGGTGGTGGTGTTTATATATATATGTATATATCCTACGTAGGACCTGCTGGTTCTGTACTGACGTTCCCTAATGACGGCGGCCACACTCGTTTGTTCTGTCACACCGACCCCAGTCTGTGAGCGTCCCCCCTCAGGCGGAGCGCGAGCCGCATGTCGCGGGGCATCAGCGTCACGCGCCTGGCGTGCAGCACACACAGATTCGAGTCGTCCATCAGGCCTACGATGTAGTGCTCCGCGGCCTCCTGCAGCGCCGCGAGCGCACCGGACTGGAACCGCAAGTCGGTCTGCATAGCACGAGTATCTCAGCCAACCATCTGTGCCGACCCCCCACCCCCTCCGAGCGAGAACGCACCTTGAAACTCTGCGCAAGCTCGCGCACGAGCCGCTGGAACGGGCGCTTCCGGATCAGCAACTCCGTCGAGCGCTGGTACTTGCGGATCTCGCGCAGGGCGACCGCCCCGGGGCGGAAGCGGCGCTTCATGTTGCTCATGTGCCCGTACTCGTGGCTTGCGGGCGACTGCTTCGCGGCGGTCTTGCGCGCCATGGGCTGGATCGTGGCCCCGCCGCCGCTGCCGCCCGGACGCCCGGATTTGGCGCTGAGGGCTTTGCGCGGGCCTTTGCCTGCCGGTGGGGTGCCCCAGTGAGGCTGCACGCTTCGAGATACTTAATTGGGACCGGGGACTCACTGCCTGTTGTTTTGCGTGCAGTTTGTTTGACGCGAGCCATGTGTGGGACGAGGAAAGGGTGTACGTAGTGTGGATGTCTTTGTGTGCCAGAGGCTCGTGTTTATACGTAGATTGGGTGTCTTGCTCGAGAAGGGTCGCAAGGTCGAGAAGGTCGAGAAGGTAGGGACCTGGACCAGGGTCGGGATCAGGGAGACTCTCTGGAATGGCGATCCATCCTAACCCTTCTATTACGAGGACAAACTACCAATTTCCCCGACGCTCACTTTCTCCGCGATGATCCAGAACGAGATATCCCCAACTTGTTCATGACTACAAGATTTCCCACGGTTCAAATACTAGGACTGATCGCGCAGTTTTAGTCAAGATGATAGCAGCGACCTGAGCAGTTTCAGATGAACAGAAACTTTCCCTGCTTGCATCTCATCCAGTACGAGGCTCATGAGTTATCTCTAGTTAGGCTCGTGGCTCAGGCGACAAACCAATTCGAAACAAGCAGAGAACGTCACAAAACAAAAGAAACCGAACTTCATGCTCGCAGAGTCATTCCGGTCACTGTCGCCCTATCATGTCGCCCTGCAGGCGTTGCTTCTGAGCGGCTCCAGTCAATTTATTACAATTCCTCGGCCCAGAATACTTGTGGGGACAGCATGATGGGCGATGAGATCAGTTTTCCGCGGTTCAAGCTGGAAAATCGCTTGAACCACGGGAAACTCAAACGGACGGCTTTCAAACGTAGTACATAGCGCAAAAAAAAAAAGATCCATTACAAATGCTCAAATGATTCGTACACTTCCCTTCCCCAGGGAGCCATTGAAAATATTAGACTGGGCAATCTTCGGCAGACATCAGTCTCGACGAATCCCCGGCTTGGAGGGCTGGACTGACCTCTTAAAACATGCCCTCTGATGTCCGCGCTTAGGACTCGTTCGCCGCAGAAGAGGCAATTCGATTCATCGTCATGCTCAGACAAGCCGTGCTATGGCGGTGCACGGATTGAGAGGACTCGGCATAGACGCGACATACCAGACGCACCTTCCTCAATGCAATCCGGCTGGGAAAGTCCTCCCAGCAGAAGAAGCACCAGCAGTGGCGGCTGCTGGCGGTCAGGTGTTGGTAGTACGCCTCCCGGTCGTCGAACTGGCGACGGCACGGCTTGCAGAAGCTGTGGATGTCGCTATCTGCTAAGTGCTGCGGATGCAAAACAAAAAAGGTCAACCATAGAGTCAAAACCAAAGAGAAGCTCACGTTGCTGAGTGCGTCCGTGTCCTTGAAGTGGCGGGCGCACAGCTTGCAGGATGGCCCGCGATCGCTTGCGGCAGGATCCTTCGGCTTGACACCCGGGTGTTGGCTTTTCTCGAGGTTCTTGAACGCCTGCTTGAGAGACGCGACTTGGTCCGTCAGCTCCTTGATCTGCGTGTCTCCGCTCTTCGTCTCGTGCATGTCAGCTTCAGGTTGTTCCTTCTCCGGCCGGTGCACGGCCGCGTCGCGGAGATGCTAGTCGATTTGGGCCGATCGTCATCGAGCGCGCGGGTCCGCCAGCGAGGAGACGCACCTGCGTGAGCGCCATGTCGTCGCAGAACAGGATATCGCAGGGGCTGCAGTACGGGTGGTCGGTCTTGGTCGCGCAGTGGTTCCGCAGCGCGTGCTCGGCCGAGAAACCGCGCGCGCACCGCCCGCATCTGAACGCCGCGAATTCTTGCTTCGGGGCTGGGGAGTCTGCGGGATGGGGGACCCGGCGACGCATGATGCTGTCGGCGACGGGAGCGGTTGTTTGGATGCCAGTCGTGGCTGACGTGGTGACGAGGTGCGTGGTCGTGTGTGCGATCCGGTGCATGGCATGGGCGCGTTCGGGATCTCGAGCCCTGTCGATCCGCAGGCCAGCCAGATGTCTCAGCCATCGCCGCGCGTTGAATCTTGCCCATCGGTCTCGAGCGCAATGTTACAGCCACATATGACGTATAGATGCGAAAGAGACTCACTCCGCAAAGCACTCGTAGCTTCACACATATACAGAGACACATCCGTCTGGAAGAACCACTGCATACGCGGATACCGCCCGCGGCAGTCCTCGTCGTACAGCCCGAGCCAATACAGCCTGCACTCGAATCAGAGCTGAGACGAGCCGGCGACGAGGGCACGCACCCGGCACACAGCAAACCGTAGCCCAGATCCAGCGACGTCGAAAGCGTGTTGTTGCCGGTGTACGAATAGAACGCCTTCGACAGAAGGAATGCGGCGGTGGCCGCCAGCGTTACTGAGCGGTAGGGAGTTAGCCGTGGGTGCGCCCGCGCCGGCGCGTCGGGGTTCGGCGGTGAGGGGGACATGGCGAGCGGGGTGAGGAAGCTGTACTATGCATGCACCATCTTCTATTTCCGGCGCGAGTCAGCGGCGTCAGACAGGCAGGCTGTGCGTGGGAGGAATCGATATAGAACTCGTCATCGTCGCCGCGGAATCGCCGTCGGTGTTTGAATCGGTACGGACTGATATGCGATTCAGAGCACAGTTCATCGCGTGGACGTGCTGCAAGGCGGATGCGATCTTCTGACTCTCGACTGCAGCTCATGTGATCGTCTCAGGCACGTGACATGATCACACCGGGACGAGGATGCTGAAGGGCGAGTACACACTGAATGGAGATTCAAATGATCCAGTCGAAGATATGAGAGCCATTTCAAATTCCACATCGAAAGCATGGTTTGCGCCCAGTGATATCAGCTTCGGGGCAAGAAACCATTGCACGCCAGCGCGAGGGACCCAAAATAAATAATGTCATATACTTAAATACGATGAATGTATAGATTCCGATGCCGAATGTCGATAGCCGATACCTCCTCAAGCAGCCTTGGGCGCTGGGATCCTCTTCTCCCAGGACCCAGGCAAGAAGCCGCGCGCCGGGCCTAATGCGGCGTCCACGAGGCGCATCATGCCGAGCACCTTCTCGTCCTCCCAGCGCCTGCCCACGACCTGCACGCCCACAGGCATCCCGTGCATCGCAGCGGGGTCGTAAACTGGTCGCGGATTGCCTTTGGTGTAGAGCTCGTTTTCGTTCACCGGGGACCCGTGCCCCGGGCCGTTCCTCCATTCGTCGGTGAGCTCATCTTTGTCGACATCGACTAGTGTCACTGGGACGACCCCGACAGGACAGTCGACAAAGTTGTAGAGCGCGGTCGACGTTGACATGGCTGACAGCATGGTCGAGCCCCTGGAAATATCCGCCATCAGTGTGCTTCAAGGGCTGATGTGGTGTGCGCGCTCACCCATGGGGTATCTGGGGTGTAGCATGCACATGAGTGATGATACCATCCAGCGCATACTTGTTCCAGATCTGCAACAGCGCTCGAGATTTAGTCTGCACAAGTGAGATGCACGCTCACCTCATCGGTAAATCGCTTCTTTAGGATGTCCCGGGCGATCACAGCTTGATGGTACCCGTCCGCACTCGAGGCTGTACTGTTACGCAGCACATCGGCCAATATCTTGTCTCCCATGAAGCTTCCAGCTCCCCAGGCCGCAGTGTTGCGAACAATATCTGTGCAGTGCTCAAGAAACCTGGCAAGCTCGACAACACAGGAAACTGACGAGGTAGCTTCGGTGGCAAGGTCATCATGGACAGGAATGGCTCCAACGGATCCGACCCAACGCCACGCAGGAGGCTGCTGAACCGATCCGCAGACGTCAGCTGCATCCAGTTGTTCAGGACATCCGCGCCCAGAGCTGAGAGATATGAGTGGGGTCACCCCAAAGATCGATCGAGCTTAAACGCACGCATGTCAATTTCGATACACTCGTGTCCAGCAGCTCTCAACGCGGTGACCGTTTCCTGGACTGCCCGGATGACCGCGGGCGAACCCTTGATGATGCCGTCCGTGTAATATCCGAACTTGAGTTTTGGCGGCAGTGCTTCTTCGCGGAACGGGAGGGGAACATGCTCGTTGTACCGGCCTGGAGCACCAAATGAGACTCGGCAGGCCAGCTCCAGGTCGTCCATGCAGCTGCCAATGTTGAAACGCCACCGTCAAAGACAGAAACAAGTCCCACTCACCGTGCCATCGGGCCACAGACACTCTTGATGCCCTCAAAGCCGGGGAACGAAGCTGCGAATAGAGTCGATCTAGGCTGCTCGCGAGCCTGGGAGACTGCACATACCCATAGCACCCTGATCGGAGACACGCCCAATGCCCGGCTTGAGCGAGTATATCCCGCAATACGATGCAGGAATGCGCAGACTCCCGGCGATATCCGAGCCCAGTCCAATAACCGACGCGTCGAACGCAAGCATGCACGCCTCGCCGCCGGAGCTGCCGCCGCACGAGTATGCCGCGTTGTACGGATTCGTCGAGCGGCCGTAGATGGGGTTCGAGCATTCGTACATGTATAGGGTCTGCGGCACGTTCGTCTTCACGAACGGTACTGCGCCGGCGTCGATCATGGTTTGCACGAACTGGATTCGGGGCGCGTGAGAGACGGCGGATTCGCGGTGGATGGCACTCACGTCGGAGTTGGTCGTCGCAGGTTTGTCTATGCAGGATGTGAGACCATTCGTCGTATCGTAGCCTTTGATGTCATCTGCGAAAGTTCAGAGGAGTGGCCTGGCGCCGAGGCTCGATGGCTGACATTGATCCTAGCATCGGTCAATCAGAGTTCGAGAGAATGAATACGGAAACGCACTTTTACGCTGATAGGAACGCCGTGGAGCGGCCCTTTCAAATGCCCGGTGCTTTCAAACTCCAGGTCCAGGTCCTTCGCGAGCTGCCTAGCATCTTTGAAGAGAACTGGGCGCCGCCGGTCAACAAGGACACCGTCTCACATGATGAGACGCATACCCTCGGTGATACAGTTTGTGGCGGTATGGGCAATGAGCGCCTGAGCAATGAACGCTTCCAACACTTGGGACGCGGTCCAGACTTTGTTCTGGATGTTCGACACGATCTCCGACGCGGTCGACTTGAGGAAGACGTTTTTGTCGGTTTCCGAGAGCAGCCCGGCTCGGGCATGGCGCTCTGCATCGAGCAGCGTGTCGCGCGCGGCGCGTTTCTTCATCGGGAGCGGCGCGGAGGTCATGCGGGCAGGACTTGTCAGGGACCAGGCGGAGAGGTCAGAGCACCGACACAAGAAGGTTGGCGAATTCCATCAGTGGCGAACGTAGAGACGCCGCTTTGACTGTCGCCGAGAATCATGGGCTGAGCGAAAGAGGCAAGCCTGAAGGAGATGACATGCATCATTTGGTTGGCATCGATCCCTCAAACACATGTTCTTGCCATCCAGGACCTTGAACACCTTGCATCTGAACCAGTTCAGCTCCACCGCGTTGCAAGATGCAGGCCGGTTTCCGGTTCGCCGATCCTGATTGGGTGGTGAGGCCCCGCCTCAGTTGCCGAGACGGTCCTTCACTCGTGTAAGAATCACACGAATCTCCGCACCGCGTCGGCCGGACGAAAAAAAGGTTGATATTACGGTTCACGCGACGAGCAGTCGCTTGCTACTCAAGTCTTAGTACCCGGTGCACCCCGAGTCTCCACCCGACGACATGTGCGGCATCTCTGTCGTCTGCGATCACACCATTGGCAGTCCGTCCACCCGAGCACGAAACTGCAGTACCCTCGAGCAGGAGCTGCGCGAATCGCTCGAGCTCATCCGGCACCGGGGGCCGGACGACACAGGTGTTTTCGTTACGCAGAATTCCCGCGTTGGTGAGTTGTGTGCTTGTGGTGTCAGGTTTCTCTCGAACGTGTTCTGCGGCCAGGTCTCGGACATGTCCGGCTATCTATCATTGACGTCGCGCATGGAAAACAACCGCTCTCAGATGAAACAGACACGGTCCACTGTGTGGTGAACGGAGAGTTGTACGACTACGCGTCTCTTCGAGCCGATCTCGAGTCCAAAGGGGCGCAATTCAAAACTCATTCAGACTCAGAGCTGGTCTTGCATCTGTGCGTTACGACTGGACAGCATGTGCCTGGTGTTCGCTTACGCCTGATGCTGTTACAGTTACAAGCAATATGGGCTGTCGCTCTTCCCTCACTTGCGAGGTGAATTCGCGTTCGTCTTGTACGATCAACGTCGGCAGTTGCTCTTCGCCGCTCGAGATCGCTTCGGGATCAAGCCGTTGTACTACACTATATCGAATGGACGTCTACTCGTTGCCAGCGAGATCAAAGCGTTTCTACCTCTAGGCTTCCAGGCCCGTTGGAACGTTGAGAGCATCGTGCATCAAGGCGAATATGCCGATGATCGAACTGTGTTCCGGGGCGTTTTTAAGGTGCGTGTATGCCAAGGCCGTCGATACTTTGTTCTCACGGACTGTGTAGATTCTACCTGGGCATTATCTTACGTACGACCGAAACGAGCAGCTGAGGATCGTGACCTATTGGGACCACATATTCGCCGATCAGACAACTGGCCCCACCTCGCAGGCTTGCACTATCGAAGATGCTGTAAAGCGAGTCCGTCAGCTCTTTGTCGAGTCTGTCCGCCTTCGACTCCGGTCTGACGTTCCATTCGCTGTGAACCTCAGCGGCGGGATCGACAGCGCGGCAGTCGCTGGGATTGCTGCAGCAGCTATCAAGGAGAAAGATCCGGGCGCACGCCTGAATGTCTTCACTCTGGCTTTCCCTGGTGAGTGGCCCTATTGTTGTGTCCAGCGGAAGGCTGATTTGTGTCAAGATCGTCCAGATGTCGACGAAGCACCAGTGGCGCTACGGATGGCGGACAGCATTGGGGCAATCATGCATTTCGTCAAGCCCACAGAAGAAGACTTGGTCGCCGAGTTCGAGAAGTCAGTCTGGCAGAGTGAAGCCCCGTTGATGTACCTCCATGGGGCAGGAAAGATCGTGCTGTCCAAAGCAGTCCGGGACAAGGGCTTCAAAGTCCGTGATCGACTTGGCTAAGAATCTGACCTGACTGTTTCAGGTTGTCCTGTCAGGTGAAGGCGCAGATGAGCTATTCGGGGGCTACAACTATCTCATTCCCGACTTTTTGCGCCAGCCGGATCATGTCTCCGAGAAGCTGTTCAGCATGGACCTGCCCACGGAGCAGGAACGTCTTGCGACATTGAAGGCCATCGTGTCACGACCCCGCGCACAGGACCACGTGTCTCTGAGCGACTTGTCGCTGACCGATTCCCAGCTGGCACGCCAAATGCTGGGCGGGCTCATCACCCACCGCACCATCGGAGTCACCAGCCCGCCAAACCACTTCTATTCGACCGAAACGCTCGACGAATACGGGCACCCCAGCATCGCGACGTCGATTGCGGAATCTTTCAGTCCGATTGTGCGCGAGAACATTGCTTCTGGGCGGTGGCATGCTCTGCACGGCGGGCTGGTGTGTGTCCTGATCCGTCACCACGTCGACTGGCTCACTGATTGTACAGTACGTCGTTCAAAAAACGGCATTGGGCAACCTGATCTTGAACCACCTCGGTGACCGTCCGGAAATGACCAACTCTGTAGAAGGCCGTCCGCCTTTTCTGGACCACAAACTCGCGGAATACGTCAACTCGCTACCTCCGTAAGACAACCTGCCACCTCACCTTTCCACGCAATTCTGAGCGCGTGTCAGATCTCTTAAAATTCGGCCCGTTCTCGTTGACACGGATACTTCGAAAGGCCCACGGGCCTGGACCTTCATTGAAAAATGGATCCTCCGCGAAGCGGTGCGCCCGTTCGTCACCCCTGAGATCGCGGACATCAAGAAGTCGATGTACAACTCGCCGATCCCGCGTCCTACCGCAGCCTCCGCCACCCAGCGCACGCCACTGCAGGCTTTGCTGTCGTCCCGCATCACGGAGAATGCCGTGTCCCAATTGGGGTTCCTGCGATGGGAGACCGTGCGAGCGACCCTAGACGAGTTCATCCAGCGCCCTGATTCGCCCGCGGACGGGGGACTGGACCCAAACGGCCGCCGGCTGCTCTTCGTCCTCAGCTTCATTGTTCTGCAGGAGAAGTTCCACGTTCCGACGGCTGAGCAGATCGGATGGTAGGATAACGCTTAGTACTTACACCTCGTATCGCTACCTTGTCGCCTTGTTGTGGATGCCTACAATGACAGATTGTATCAAACATGCTCAAAATGGTATCAAAACGCGAAGCACACAAGATCTGATAGATATTTGTGAACGTGCGAGTGCATCTGAGATCTTCGTGCTGATCGTGGGATTTGATTCCCTCCCCGCAGATCCTTCTCTCACGCGCCACTTCTGGTCCCGATCTCGATTCGCCGACTGAGCCCGCTCTCTTGCGAGGTGCAACCCTCCCGCTCCGCTTGCGCTGTTCTAGCGGGGGCAAGGATGTAGCCACTGGAAGACGATCTTGGCGGGTGATGGTCATTGTGCATGCATGACTGAGCGATTACTTCGTGACAAGCGACGATCGACTGCGCGGGAAGCCGCTCGTCGAGATTGAACTCGTTATAACCGTCGGCCTGAACGTCTCTCTCCCATCTGTCTCCCGACATGAGCAAACCCATCGCATTGATCACAGGATGCTCGAACGGCGGCATCGGGGCTGCTTTGTGCGTTCTGTTGCACTCACCGTCCTTCTCTACGCTGCGCGGCTGATTGGAGATACCCAGCTGCAGAAAGTTGCTCGCAAAAGGGTACATCGTCTACGCCACCGCGCGCTCCGTGCAGGCCATGTCCGACCTGGATCACGAGAACGCGCACCAGCTCGTGGTGGACGTCACGGACGACGCGTCCGTCGCGAAGGCTATCGACACCGTGTACGCCGAGACGGAGGGCATCGACCTGCTCATCTCGAACGCCGGCTTCGCGCATATCGGTGAGCAGGCACGCAATCGCGTGTGTAATGTCCGATGGCGGCCGCCGTTGGCCAACTGAGACGAAAACAGGACCGCTGTTGGACACGCCGTTTCAGGAGGGCATGCGCGTGATGCAGACGAATTTCTTCGGCTTCGTGCGCCTCGTCAAGAACGTCGTCCCGCGTATGGCGCGCCGCGGGCACGGGACGGTCGTCGCTATCAGCTCGATCCTCGGCGAGCTCCCCATGCCGTTCGAAGGTTTCTACAACGCGAGCAAGGCTGCGCTGCGGTCGTACACGGAGACGCTCCAGATGGAGTGTAAACCTCTGAAAGTCAAGGTGGTGCTCGTCGCACCAGGATCCATCCGGAGCAACATTGCCGCGGTGCGCGTGGCCCCGCCTTCCCGCATACGATACTGTGCAAGCTGAAACGGACACAGAAATCAGCGTATACGGTCCCCGAGGACTCGTTCTACAAGGCTTTCGAGAAGCAGATCCAGCGCGTCATGTACCTGAGCCAGACGGCCGAGTACGGGGTCATGGACACCGACCAGTTCGCCAACGCCATCATCGGTGACGTGACCTCCGCGAGCCCGTCGCCCTACATCTCGATCGGCGGATTCACGACCAAGGCGTGGCTCCTCCAGTGGGTGAAGCGCACCTGGGCACTGGACTTGATTTGGAATTCTGTCAAGGCGGAGCCCAAGTAGTTTGATGAATCCTACATCTGCTGTAGATTACTCATTTATGCGGGGGATGTGCTGGTATGCAGCATATCAGTTGGTCGCAAGGCCTGTGGAAAAAAATGACGGGCGAAGAAAAAAAGGTCGCCCACCGCGCTTTTTCAACAGATAGGCCGAATAAGGCAAGGATTCTACATTACACTACTGATAACCTATCATGTGAAAGCTAGGTGCGGCACAAAAACAAAGAGGTGAAAGCTCAGCTTCGAGCAGAAACTGTTTGTGATAGTGAATCCAGAAAATAAAGCGCGGACTCGATCTCATGAGCTGGTGGAAGAGGCCAGCTTGGGCCGTAAGGAGGGAGCTGCGGGTAGTAGATCATCATCATGATCTTGGCGAACTGCATTTCTGTGAGAAAAAGGAACAAATCAGCGGCCGTGAAAGCAGCCTTCACTGCCGTCTGGTATAACGACTCAGTCAACAACATGATAACATCGCCGGTATCGAAATTTAAAATCTACGGCCCATGTGGAATCACGACTATGAGCGTTGGGTGATGTTCCAGAGCAGGTCCAGCGCCCAAGTACGTTTCAACCATTTCAGCAGCCATGTTCGTGTCGAGAACCCCCCGATCGAAATGTAGGGCGACGGGTTCGCGGAGGTAACATTGCCGATGATGACACTAGCAAACCGGTCGGTGTCCATCACCCCATAGGCGGCCGTCTGGCTCTGGTACATGACACGCTTGATCTGCCTCTCGAACGACTTGTAGAGCGAGTCCTCGGGCAAAGTGTATGCTAATTTCTATGCGATATCCGTCTCAGCCTCCACAAAAATTGGGGAAGATAGACACGCACCCCCACAATGTTGCTGCGTATCGAGCCCGGTGCGACGAGCACCACCTTGACCTTCAGAGGCTTGCACTCCATCTGAAGCGTCTCGGTGTAAGATCGCAGTGCGGCCTGCTCGCGTTGTAGAAGCCAAGGAAACGGCGCAGGGAGTTCTCCGAGGATCGAGCCGACGGCGACGACCGTCCCGTGCCCGCGCCGCGCCATGCGCGGCACGACATTGTTGACCAGACGCACCAACCCGAAGAAGTTTGTATGCATCACGCTCATCCCCTCTTCGAGCGGAATATCCAGCAGCGGTCCTAGTTTTTCCTCGGTTGGCTTGCGGGTACTCGCACAGAAGGTGAATCGGGAGCTCCAGACTCACCAACATGCCCGAACCCAGCGTTCGAGATGATACGTCTATTCCTCCGTCTCAGTGTATACGGTGTCAATGGCCGCTGCCGACGGAAGCGCTTCGTCCGTGACGTCCACACGAGCTTGTGTGCATTCTCGTGCTCCAGATCGGACATGGCTGCACAGAGCGCGCGGTGGCGTAGACGATGTATCCTTTCGCTAGCAAATCTCTACAGCTGTCAAAAGCGTATCTCCGTTAGCGACGAGGTGGAAGGCAAGTGAGAAGATACGAGACGCACAATGCCGCCCCGATCCCGCCGTTGGAACA